CAGCACATTTAACATAACAAGAAGCTTTCCATTCAAGCACTGCCTGAAGGGGTAGACGCCATTTCCCTATTTTACCTAGAAAATGAAGAATCTCTTTTAATACATTTTCCTACAAACTAACCTTAACCTGGTCACACCTACCCTCCTGCACTGTGTGTACATAAGAAAAAGGAAATTAAATGGTGAGGTGGAACACAGCTGTTACATTAATTAACCCTTGAGAGGATAAAACAGAAGGAGCCAGAGTTAAGGGCCAGTGCGAGCTAGGCTGATGTGGGGGGGGGGCTTCTTTTGCAGGCTGTGTGTAGGGGACATGTGCAGGGATAGGGAATGACAGGGAAGGTGTTTGTAGCATTTTCCAAGAGCTGTCTTTGGTCAAGTCCAGTTCCAATGTCTTCAGCTATGACTGTAAGAACTCAGATCGTATTAACGCATGTCACATCCTCAGATACTGAAAGTGTTCAAGGTCTGTATAAACATAGACTTGGGAAGTAATTGTAGGATCTTCGCTAAGTTTTTACTGTTCCCTTGAGATCTCTCCTCATCTGCCTTCTTAAAGTTCTAAGTGTCAGAAGAACTTCAAAAATGTTCGCTGATAAAAATAAAAAGTCCCCTCAGTTTGTTGTTGCCTTTTCTGCTGCCAGTGTCCTAAGTGTTTGCTGGTGTCCTAAGATAAGCAGGCCTCACTAGAACTATGTACAGTTGATAAGTTCACCCCAGCACTGGAAACCACTGAAATGAGTCTGCAGGGAAACCGTCATTTTGAACTTCTCCCACATACAGATTAGTAGAAGGTCAGAAAGCAGTTAGTTAAGGTCCTCCTAATGCTTCTCTTGGGAGAGGAGAATTTCCTGGCAAGGAAACATCATCCCAGACAGAGTGGCAGTTCCCAGGGGCAATGCTGTAACTCAGTCTTTGCATCTTTTGCCTTTGACTAAGACAGATGGTGCAGTTTTCAATTTAAAAAAAAAAAGAACAAGAAAAGAGAGAGAGAGAGAGAGAGAGAGAGAGAGAGAGTTTTAAGAAGTAATCATGGTAGGTGCAGAAATCAGGAAGATATGTTATATCAATGGAAAACAAATCTCGAAGGTACAATCCTGAAAACACTCTTTTCAAATAAGTGACATGAATCTTTGGGTTGGGAAAAACAAAAACAACAACACAAAACCAGATCGGGTTGGCTGAAACTACTATGGATGAATACCCTCTGTGAAGGGCACTGGCTGTGTGCTGCCATGTCAGAACCTAGAGCATATAGCAAACACTCACTAAATATCTGTTTAATGGATAAATATAATGTTCTGGCTGAAAATAAATAAATACAATCATTTTTTCCTTCTATTAAAATTATTTAACTATTTTTTTAATTTGTTCTAATTAGAGATCTAAGGAAAGCATTTATGCAGCTGTAAGTAATTTATGTAGGGTTCTACCCCAAAGTCATAGCCTCATCCTAGAGAATAGAATACAAATTATTCTCTCTCTTGTGACTTGAGTCCTTATTCCTTTGCTCTGTGCCGTGTAGGTCTGTAACACTAGGGGAGATTGAGTATATGTGCACACCATCTTGTTCACTCTAGAAAAACAAACTTACTCAGTTAGATTAATACTTTATGGTGGACTGTTAATGATGAACTATTTCCCAGATGCTTCCCCAGTGATGTGAAAATAAAATAATTGAACGGGAGACTTTTCAAGTAACATAATGGGAGAACCATCAGATATCTGTGGCAATGCCCTTTCTCAGGTAGGGTTTCAGTCATGAATTTGGTTCCATGAATATTTATCTGTAGACTGCTATGTGTTAGGCAACATAGCCAGCACTACAGATACAAGATAGAAAGGGATCTATATATTGTGAAGTAGTCTGCTATGGGAAGTCCTTCTGTATATGTGTTGTTTTTATTGGTTAATGAATAAAGAAACTGCTTTGAGCCTATAGCAGGGCAGAACAGAGCTAGGAGGGGAAAACTAAACTGAATGCTGGGAGAAAGAAGGCAGAGTCAGTGAGAAGCCATGACACCAGAGATAGACGCCGGATGAAACCTTGCCCGAAAACCACAGCCATGTGACAATACACAGATTAATAGAGATGGATTAAATTAAGATGAAAGAGCTAGGTAATAAGAAGCTAGAGCTAATAGGCCAAGCAGTGATTTAATTAATCCAGTGTGTGTGTGTGTGTGTGTGTGTGTGTGTGTGTGTGTGTAAGTCTGGGAAGCCAGGAATGAACAAGCGATCTCCTACTACATATGTCAGTCTTTTTTCTATAACTAGCCTGAAAGAATCTATTCTAGTTTGCTTCTCCGTTAATGCAATAAACGCGACTGAAAGCAACTTAGGAAAAAAAGGGTTTGTTTGGCTTACAGGTTCCAGCCTACCACCAAGGGTATCCAAGACAGGAACTCATGGCAGGAACCTGGAGACAGAAACTGAAACAAAGACGACAGAAGAAGGCTGCTTACCAGCTTGCTCTCCAGGGCTTGCTCAGGTTGCTGCTTATATCACCCAAGACCGGCCCAGAAGTGGTACAGTGGGCTGGACCCTCCCACATCAGTCATCAATCCGTCAATTTTACCTACAGCAGAATCTTAAGAGCACAATTTTCAGTAGAAGTTGTTCCCTCTTCCAAGCAACTCTAGTTTGATCCAATTGGTGAAAACTAACCAGCACAAAGTCTCCTCTATTTTGAAGGCTTGAACTGGTCAATTCATTATTCAATACCTAGCTAGCATCTACTAAGCGTCTCTTTTCCCCTACCCATATATACTGGGAACATAATAACAAATCCTTCTGGTCAGAGAACTCTCATTTGTCTACAAGGAATTTCATAAATTAAAGTGCCCTGGGTTCCTGGACTAGGTTGAGAATGCTAAGGGAAAGAAATCATGTCTTCTAAAGTATTATTTAGAAAGTCAGATCTCAGCATCCCAAACATCTCCAGCCTCAGAACTAAACCCAAATCTTGCTACTATAATTTTTGATTTATATACTACTCCCCAGCTAACTGTATCTTTTCACTTGCCACTGTATCTTTTCACTGTTTTTTTTTGTTATCCACTGCTCCCCAGTTAACATCACTGCCCTATACCAGTTTTGAGAAACATCTAGTACATAGTAGGGCTTTCGTGGCCAAGGCATAAATGAACAAAAGGCACAAATTCTGTTTTTACAAATGAGATCAATATTAGTTCATGACTTTAAAACTCTTATGTTACATGGTTAAATGTCTCAGCTTCAAAGACAGTTGTGAAAGCTTAATCCACGCTCTTTTTTTCTTTTTTCTCTCCTTTTTATTGTTCAAAAATGTCATACGTACACATAACACACTTCAATTAACCCACCATTCCCTCATCTACAGTCCCTCCCCTTTCCTCCCAACTCGTTTTTCTTCCCAATACAATTTGGTCTGCTTTTCAAACCCACTAAGCACATGAGGTTTGCCTTTGTATGTACATAGCACAGAGCATCTCCTAGAGCGTGGGCAGCTGCGTAGCCTTTGAACTCGGAAGAAAACCAACTGCTCTGCACTGCAGCAGTCTTTCCTTTCCGGCTGCCCCTCAACCAAGGCTCGGACTTCTTGGTCCCACCTCCTCCTTCCATTCTGGCGTTTTGTCTGGCTTGCTCTTGTGCGGGTCTTTCGCACTGTGAACTCATATGTGCAGCTGTATGTCTGGAAAGCAGCATTTTGTTGTAGGCATCCACTGCATCTGGCTTTTTCAATCTTTCTGTCTTCTCTTCCTTTGATGATTCCTGAGGCTTGGGAGAAGGGGGGTGTGATACTGATGTCCAGTTGAGAGCTCATCGCTCTGCAGTCCTGTGTTCCCTGTATGCTGATGAATTGTGGGACTTGGTAGTAATTGCCATTAACTGTACAAAGAAACTTTTGTAATGATGGTTGAGAGATGCACTGTGTTAATTATAAATGACTAAGAGTCCTTTTAATGCTATGTCCATTTAGCAGAATAATAAAGTCCTCTCTGTGGGCTTATGATCTCTCTAGCCAAGGGTTCTTAACACTAATAAGTGTCAGACAAGGGAAACAAGGATTCTGTCTTGTGGAAAGGGCCTTAAGTCAAATCAGAAAGTGGTTGGTTGCTCTGTAACATTTGTGCCATTATTTTTTTTAATTTATTTATTTATTAAAGATTTCTGTCTCTTCCCCGCCACCGCCTCCCATTTCCCTCCCCCTCCCCCAATTAAGTCCCCCCCCAGCCCGAAGAGAAATCAGGGTTCCCTGTCCTGTGGGAAGTCCAAGGAACCCCCACCTCCTTCCAGGTGTAGTAAGGTGAGCATCCAAACTGCCTAGGCTCCCACAAAGCCAGTACGTGCAGTAGGATCAGAAACCCATTGCCATTGTTCTTGAGTTCTCAGTAGTCCTCATTGTCCGCTATGTTCAGAGAGTCCGGTTTTATCCCAGGCTTTTCCAGACCCAGGCCAGCTGGTCTTGGTGAGTTCCCAGAAAAGAATCCACGCTCTTGTTACAGACACCAGTCCACACATGGGATGGTTACAGTGTTGATCTGTGCGTTCCTTAGTCTAAGAGAATCTGGGCATTGCCGAGAAGACCTGCTATCAGTCTAGTTAGCTACAGGTACAAGGCTGCTTCGGGGTGTGAAAGGAATCTTTAATTTGTTTAGATTTCCTGCCCTTGCTTGGTGAGATTTGTCGTTTCCTGCATTTGGAAGTCTGTAAAAGTTAAGATTTATTCTCTAATGGGACCAAGGCTGAAATCCTGAAAACCCCTACCTACTCAATACCAAGAAATATCTTTTAAATGAGTCGCATGAGCTATCTCAAGGTTGGTGGGTTTGCACCCCGAAACTTTCCCTCGGGGACCCGCGGCTCCTCCAGGAGAATCTTTGCGTGACAGGCTTGAGGCTTAACTGGGAGCAGACCAAGCTTAGCTTCAGTGCAGCCTCCTGGGCGGGGCGGGGCGGGGCGGGGTCGGCGAGCTCCGGAGCAGGCGGCTGTGGTGTCCAGAGAGTGTGGTGTGCAGGATGCTCTGGGTCCGCGGCAGCGTCCTGCGCTGGGGCTTGGAGTTCACCGTCCGCCGCGCCCGTCAAACTGTCCCGAGTTGGCCGGGATGGGGTCCCCGGGCCGCGAGTCACCCCTGTAGCTCCAGTAGCCAGAACCCCAGAGGTTCTGAGCCCCCAGGTTAGGGTAGGGAAAAACTGGGAGGAAGAGGGCTGCGAGAGGGCGGGCCAGGGGCTCGGACTGGAGGGTTCAGGTTTGCGGACGCACTGTGCTTCTGATCAGCCTATCGCTTTCGCTGCAGAGAAGGTTCACAGGATCCCCGCCCAGTACAAGCCTTCGCAATTCGACAAGAAAATCCTGCTGTGGACCGGGCGTTTCAAATCCATAGATGAGATCCCGCCCCTAGTACCGTAAGTGTGAATGGGGTCCTTGACTGGGTTTCGCCCCCAATGGGGAGACTCGAAGCTCGGGAGGGACACAGTGTCCTATCCGTGTGCTTGCTGGCCAGGGGCAAGGCAGCCAAGGTGCACACTAACAGTTATTTACAACATTCCCCTAATGTGGGTAAATGTCAAGGTACTTAACTAGACAGTGGGGAGCTGGTGTTTTAGAGAGCAGACGCTGAATGAAAACCCAGGAATTTAGCGGGCAGTTCCCACCCAGCCTTGTAGACACGAGTTCCTGGAGAGCTCTGAGCAGACTGAGCCTTGGAGTACTGTGACGGTTAGCAAGAACACGACAGCATACAGAATTGAGGAAGAGATATTTCTGAGCATGTCTGTGAGGAATTACTAAATTAGGTTAATCAATGTGGGAAGATTGACCGGTGGTGGTGGTGGCGGCGGCGGAGTGTGTGTGTGTGTGTGTGTGTGTGGTGGTGGTGGGGGGGGGGGGGGGTGGTGGTCCTGAACGCAATAAAAGAGCTTGACTTTCCAATACCATTACATATATGGCCATCTCAACTACAAACACCGCGCTTAACTCCATGATAGACTACATCCTCACTCTATGCACACCACACCACAATGACAGACTGTGAACCAAAGCAAACACATTATTAATTTGCCCTTGTCAAGGTACTTTATTACAGCAATGATCAAAGTAATTAACATACTTAAGTTAAACTAGAACCTGGGTGGTGGTGGCTGGGATGATAGAGACCTAGAGGGGCCCATGTCAGGGGATGTTTTCTTACTGCTCCATACAAGGAAAGAGTCCTTATAGGACTTTTTGACTACTGGAGAGTAGCCATCTGGTACCAAGTTTCCTGGCCCTGGGATGCTAGGCAACTTCAGCGTGGTTGGTTTCATCCTAAACGGCTTTAAGTGAAATGGAAGTGGCAAATCGTGTGTTGGGAAAATGCACACTCAGTAACTCATTGTGAAGCAATGAAACTTGCTCTTTGAGCAACAGTTTAGAAAATGTGAAAATCTGAAATCAACTTATATTTTCTAATATTATAAACAAATTTTATTCTTGACATATATAGACTCCAAACTGTTGAAAACATGAGTCTCAGAAAAATTTGAGGACAAGTTCTACTTACTAAAATATAGTATTTCAGAGTCAAAAATGTAGAAAGAATATAAGTAGAGCAAGAAATAAAATTCCACCCTTAGTTAGTTTGAATTTTGATATCTACCATTATAACAGATTAAGAATGTAAAGAATCTGCAATGTTGCAAGTTAATTTCCAACAGAATGGATTTCTCTATATTGCATTATCACAGCTGAACATGGGAAAAGATCCATTTCAGAGTCAATTTAATTCCCCCAGGATCACCGTCAACAGAAATAACATATACAGGAGCATTTCACAACGAATAAGACACTTATAGCAAGCATTGTAATTTTGAGCTCAGAGTATTTGTATATGTTTTCAGTTTTATTGTTTTTTTATAATTTTTGAAAGTTTTGCTATTTAGGAGGGACATTCTATTAAGATGTTATGCTTGCAACATAAGGAATGTTATTCTCTATGATTTTAAGAGACAAATAATTAATAGAAGACCTACGGTTTTTGCATTGCACACTAATTTTGTTTACAGTAACTGTGCCTTTTCTTTTGTTTTTAACTGCTAAACTAATTCTGTGTGCCAGATCACAGCTAGATAAATAAGTTTAAAATGATCAGATCTTTTAGGCTTCATCTGGAAAAAGAGCTGGCAACAAATACAATCTAATAATGTCTCCTTGGCCACTAATTGAGCCTGTTTGCAATTGACGTTTTAAGCTTAATTCTGCCTAAAGTATAACAAAAACAGGCTACTGTATTTTTTGAGACTTTTTTCCAAATCGTGAAAGAGTTAAAGTTTTCCTTTTCAGGGGAAATTTAACACATCTTTATGAATTTTTAAAAATGTAACTAACTGCATTATAACTAATCATAAATAAACTTTCTAGTAGATAAGAATGTCACTCAATATTTTCCAGAGTAAAGAACCTTATGCATATTGATAAATTGACAGTTAATTATCATGGAAAATTGGTAAAGTTTTCTTTCAATATAAAAGTACCCAAAGTTTGATTCCCATTATAACAGTCTTGTGAGTAGTGTTGCAAAAATCTAAGGTAATTGTACTATGTGTACTTGCATGTAGCTAGTCTTGTTGGAGAAGAAGGTAGGAAAGGACAAGAAGAAACTGAACTGTTGAAAGAAAAAATGGAAAGTGGTTTTAAATATAAGCTGTTCCAAATAGTTTCAATTATTTTATCCTAGTTCAGAAATAACAAGCCATTGTCAAACAATACACGCTAGTAGTTTCATCTTGATCAATTAGAAACCAAATGTTTTACACTGGTTTCATAGGGGCTACCTCTAGTTTAAGATTGGAATCTGAATGAATGTATGCCAATTTGAAATTGCTAAGACAAATGGGCTAGCATTTGTTACAGCTATGGTTTGCATTTGGGGAAATAGTTGAGCTATTTTCGATCATTATTTATCATGATCATCAGGAAGCTGGACTGCTTTAATATTAGCAAATATTAAAGTATCAACAAATATTCTAAATGATTAACAAAATGCCCATTTTGGTGTAGGCCTGAAATGATAGATGTTGCCAGGAACAAAGCTAGAGTGAAAACTTGTTACATAATGATCGGGCTCACAATCGTTGCCTGCTTTGCTGTGATTGTATCTGCCAAAAGGGTGAGTGCCTCCCTGAAATCCATACCCAGTGGTGGTGGGCGGGGGAAGAGGCCCAGGGCAGACCCCTTGTCTATCTTCTGGAGGTCCAGGGTTCAGTCTAAGCTTATGGGGTAGGGAGAGAAACAAGACTAGTTACAAGAAATGTTATAGGCCTTGCTCTGAATTCAGGGGTTGACTATGCTGTAAGAACAAATTCATCTTTGGATCCTGGCTCTACCCACATGTGTATACCATAATAGATACAAATCTGTTCATAAAAATTTGCATCCAAAATTAATTGGTCAGGAGAGACAAAAGGTTTTTTTTTTCTATTTGTAAAGTAACAAAGAGTAGTTTAATATCTGCATAAGAGCTCTGTTGTGTGAAAGTAAAACAGACCAGCTCATTATCTGAATCACTAAGTAGCGGTTGCACAGAGTTAGGAGATAAGTGTACTGATTGGAAGTGGCTTTCGGGGTTGAGTATGAGCTGCTCTTTGCCATCTTCCATGGACACTTCCTGTTTAATATCTATAAAGAGAAGTGGAGAGATGACCATTTCACATTCTGTACGCTGCTTCTAACATTCCTGTCTCTGGATCCTCTGAACTATTTTATTTTATTTTTTACCATGAGCAGCTTCAACAATACTGACAGATGGTCTAGAAGACTCCATCTGAGAGCTGCCTCTAGACACACTCTACTTCATTTGTCCCCTGTGACTGGACTGGTTAGAACTGGCTGGGTCGCCTGACCTCAGTATCCTCCCTTCTGGGGTATTTCAGCAGCTGCCATTCCTCCTTCTTTTGGAGAGGCAGGCATGCAAAAGACGTCAATGCTTGGATTTCTTTTTAAAGTTTTGTATATGTATACGATGTGATCAGAGTCACCCCCTTTACCCTCTGGAATCTTTCCTTTCACTCTGAACCCCATCTTATTTCCACCTAGCCATGGCTACACCATTAGAGGAGAGAACATGACACCCTCAATTCTTTACTCTTCGGGTTTTCAAATGTCTGAGTCCCCTAACCTCGGGCAAGGACCAGGTGTCATTAACTTAGTAATGGCACGTTAACCATTGGGGTTAACTTACCCCTACAATGTGCTCCTCAGAGGAAATACTTCAGAACCATACTGACTGGGCTGAATATTCAAAAGTGAACAAAGAAATCTAAACCATCTCATTGTTAGCCTATCCTAGATAATTGCTTGCCAAATTGACATTTCTCTGGTTTCTAGAACTCTTTTAATGGGAACTATATCCCACCCCCCTTTTTTGAGACAGGGATTCTCCATGTAGCCCTGGCTGTCCTGCAACTCACTCTGTAGACCAAGCTGGCGCCAAACTCAAAGACTGTGATTAAAGATATGTGCTACCACTGCCTGGCATGTATTCTGCTCTAAACGATGAAAACTAGGGCTTTTTGTTTGTTTTGTTTTTAAATAAAACAAATGGCCCCCTTGTTGCCAGTCTATCAGGCTGGTGTAGCTTATTTCACACCTTTCCTGACTCCTTCAGCTTCCCAATCACAGCTCAGCTCCACAGTCAAGAATCCAATCATGTGCTCACTCCTTTGTGTGCGTAGTTAAAGTCCCGGTCCACAGCTGTCATGGTTAGTGTTTTCCCAAATGCCCTCTGGCTGAAACCATTCCCATCCAGCCTGGCATCTTTCTCCCATCCCCTGCCAGCACAAGCCTTGGGTTTCATTCATTCCTAGAAACTGAGGATCTCCCTTTTGGGCTTCAACGTTGGAAAATATTTCAACGTATGTTTTAGCCAACACACATTTTAACTAAGAGAGATGGCAGCTGATTCCTGGTATCAACTATCCAGTTGACTAGAAGCCTAGCATCTTAAGTGATTTCCACCATAACATTGAGCCTTTTTCTTTCTTTCTTTCTTTCTCTTTCTTTTTCTCTTCTTCTTCTTCTTCTTCCTCTTCTTCCTCCTCCTCCTCCTCCTCCCCCCTCCTCTTCCTCCTCCTCCCCCCCCCCCCCTCTTCCTCCTCCTCCTCCTCCCCCCCTCCTCCTCCCCCCCTCTCCTCCTCCTCCTCCTCCTTCTTCTTCCTCTCTCTCTCTCTCTCTCTCTCTCTCTCTCTCTCTCTCTCTCTCTCTGGATACCGTGAGAGTTACTTAAGGTACCTTTTCCCCCTTTTCACTTTACAAAGGCTTTTCCATAGAACAACGATGCAAGTTCTTTAAAATGTCATATTGTGTTGTGTTTTATTTTTAGGCTGTAGAACGACATGAGTCCTTAACAAGTTGGAATCTGGCAAAGAAAGCCAAGTGGCGTGAAGAAGCTGCACTGGCTGCACAGGCTAAGGCTAAATGATGCTAAAGTGTCAAAGTACTCACTCAGAAGCCATTACTATTATTAGCAATAATAAAAGATTGATAAAATATTTGCTATGGTTTTATTTTGGTAACAAAAACACTAAAATCTTCTTAATGTTGTAGTAAACATTTACTAACACCCATTAAAAAATTGTGAACAAAAGTATAAGTGTCTTGGTAGATTTTTACACAGCAAACAGAAGGCAAAGGGACACTAACCCACTCAAGCATATGACTCGGGCAGGCCTTTCCCTTCTCTCCCGAATTCCTCTGTCTTGCTAAAAACCACTAGATTGCTTTCCTAAATCTAGCCATCAAGGTCTACTCCCTTATTTTGCCACTTTCTCCTTCTAAGGCTGACTACCAAGGTCCAGAAATTTAAAATCCCTTTGGTTTATCTAACACGTCCAATTAAAATTAAATGTGTCATCCTAACATGGGGTTTCCCCCTCTACCTTTATAAACCTTCATTTATCTAAGTCCCATATCTGTCTAGAGACATTTCTTTGTCCCTCTGGGACAAATACCTCTTCCCTTTTTCCCTTGTCCCCTTCTCCTCCTCTCTAGTTCCCTATCCACTTTACCACATCTTGGGCCATTCTAACACAGACCTTCCCTTTTCCTTCTCTTAAAAATTATACCAGCAAGGTCATTTGCTGCTGTTTTTCTGCCTGAGTCAGAAAGCAGCCACTTTAACTTTTCTTTCTTCCTACTTAATAAAGGATCTCTGGGGAAACTGGTGTTTGGGTGTGGTTTGTGGCAAATCTGGGGTCCGGGAGTAAGCCCCTGCTGTTGGGGGGGGGGGTCTCCAGGAGGAAGCGCCAACTGAGTGCAATCCTGAGTGAATGTTTTGTTGATATGGACACAGCCATGACAAAGACCCCAGCCCTTGAACCCATGGGAAATTGGCAAAGCTGTTTCCCATCTGGCTGGGCTTGAAATTGGAAAAAGCTTCTTCCTCTGATCCAAGTGCCAGTATTTACAGAGGCTTGATCAGTGTGTACAAACACTAGCAACTGCAGCTTCCTCCTCCCGGATGTTTACAATTCGAGACAGCCTGCCAACAGACACCTCCTATGGAGGCTAGTTTATGGCTCCCCCTGTGCTGTATATAATAAACGGGGGGTGTTGGTGGTGGTAGTGCGATTCATCAGTGTGCGCACTGCACCTGAATTTATTCTAGAGCATGCCTGTCCTTTCTGCATTTCCTTGTTGTCAGAATCAGGTCTCTAGATCCAGACTCCACGGATTACAGCACTGGTATGCTCGCTGCCCAAAATAAAATCAACAGGACTCCAGAACTCTACTCTCTCACAACGTGGAACACTGAAAAGGTAACCATTGTTCTAGGTTTCCCTGTTGATTAGTTTTACTTGCTTTTGAACTTTAGATGGAATCATACAGCATGCAGCTGGTGTATGGGCTCTTACCATTACATTATGATGTTCATGCATAAAGTGTATAGCTACGTTCCTCCTTGTATTGCTAACTTTCACCCATCAATCGTACCTCATGTATGTAACTCAAGCACTGTGCTGAGGCAGTTTTCCCATGAGGTCAAAGATAGCCTGGACTACAGTGTGAGACCTTGTCTCTAAACAAAGAAACAAAAACACCAATACTAATTTTCAACCCAAGTCTCTAGTATTTGGTACCTGGATAGTCCCTTCAGTTATACTTTTCCTAGCTGACAAAAAGTCTAAGAATTATTCCAGAATTTATTTTATTGATGAAGTATTAAAACAGCAATTATAAAAGTGATTTTAAAAATAGAAAAAGACTTGGGCGGTGGTGGCACACACCTTTAATTCCCGCACTCGCGAGGCAGAAGCAGGTGAATCTCTGTGAGTTCGAGGCCAGACTGGTCTACAGAGTGAGTTCTAGAACAGCCAGAACTGCATAGACAAATCCTGCCTCAAAATAAACAAACAAACCATTAAAAAATAAAAAAGGAAAAAGTCAAACGTTTTAAAAATCATGCGCCTTGGAGCTGGAGAGATGGCTTAAAGGTTAAGAGCACCGGCTGATCGTTCAGAGGTCCTGAGTTCAAATCCCAGCAACCACATGGTGGCTCACAACTATCTATGAGATCTGGTGCCCTCTTCTGGCGGGCAGGCATACATGCAGGCAGAACATCGTAAACATAATAAATAAATTTTTAAAATTCTGCTAAAAAATTATGTATCTTGCCCTACATGATCTTTATTTAGCATGTAATTTTTAATCATTAGGGTTTTTTAACTTTACAAACTGGTTTTCTTACAAAAAACATAGAATGCCTTAATAAATATGCTTGGGGGCAGCATAGCAAAAAATAAAATAAAATAAAATAAAAAATAAACAAACCTCAGAAACAAACCAAAAAAAAAAAAAAACACCAAACAACACTTCCAAACCTAGAAACTAAAAAATTAAAGGCAGAAAATTCAATAAATGAAACCAGACAAATCAATGTAACCAAATATCTCAGAAAAAAAATGAGATAAAAGACAAACAAGTTGCAAGAGAAAAGTATATAACTGCAAGTGAGGCAGAAGCCTCCTTTCCAGCCGTGAAGAGAACGTGGTGGACTGGAGCCATTTCCTGCCAAAACGGAGGAACAAGGACTCAGTTTGAACTCTAGCATAAAATGTCAGAGAAAAATGTGAACGAGCAGTCATTTGCAAAATCAAAGGGACCTATGACTGCCCTATTTGCCTTCCTACAGAGTTTAAAGACAGCCAGCTAGGCAGGGAACCTCTGAAATCTGAGTTAAAAGCCAAGACAGGCAGAGCTCTGTCCCCTTATGCCAATCATAGTAGGTAGGCATAAGGGGACATGGTTTCACAGAGGCAGCAGTTCTCTTCTGTCTTCAGATAAATTGAGCAGGTGTAGTTACTACCCAAGGCCAGCAAAACAACCCCCAGAGAGGGCAAATAAGGGAAAACAATCCTTAGAACTCACCAGTGACTGGGCCTGTCCCCTTGTAATTCACAGGCTATGGGAGATGCTCAGACCAGCACTGCCCAGCAGCAACTGCTTTACAATTTTTTTTGTAAAAAAAAAAAAAAAAAAAAAAAAAAAAAAAATCAATTTTTTTTTTTTTTTTGCCCATGTAACTTAATTGTAGGCTGTTTCATATCTTGGCTGTTAATCAGTGCTACGATAATAACCCAAGGTGCACTTATCTTTTTGCTGTAGCAGTTTCATTGCTTTGGGATATGTACCAGAAGGGCTCAACTTCATTAGGCATCAGACACACACACATCAAAACAAAATGAAATACTATTTCCTTCATTAGAATGACTATTAGCAAACAGAAAACAAGATAACAAATGCCGTTTAGGATGCGCAAAAGAGAGCCTGTATATACTACCGATGGGAGTAAAATGAGTAAGACCAATCTGGAAGACTGCAACTTTCTAAAAAACAACAACAAATAAAAAACAAAAACAAACAAACAAACAAAGTAGAACTACCTCTTGGGACTTGCTCACTTTGCTTGACAATGTTTCCATTTTCAATAGTCTCTTGTGAGATTTCACTGCTGCAGTGGTTTAAATGAGCCATCTAATGTCACTCTGGCATTGAAGTACTTGGTCCCTAGTTGCTTTTTGTTTAGGAAGCATAGGAGATATGGCCTTGCTGGAGGAAGTGTGTCACTGGGGTGAATTCTGAGGCTTCAAAAGACTGGTGTTGAGGTCTCCAATCCCCCTGGAAGTTGACTGGACCATGGCGCTTTATCCTGGCAGTAGAAATGTGTTTAGTACAAGCGACCTACTATGCTTATGCACTAAACATCTCATTAAAATCACTGTGATAACTGACAGAACTGATTTATGTCTAGCATCCTGCTACTTGTTCTATTTTTGGGGGGAGAGGTCCCCTTTTTTCTCTTTTTCTAACTAGTTTTGAATGAACTACTTTTTATGTTTCTTGTTTTATAGAAATGGACAGACTGTTAACTGATGGTTGCATCTGTTTTGATTCCATTGGGAACATACAATCTTTGCAATAAAAATTAAAATAAACACACGTATAAATGCAACTGCAAAACAGTATTTTATTGTGTTTAGTAGTGTGTAACATTTCATAATATTTCATAATGCTCAAATGTTTGTTCATTTAGTTTGGTGAGAATCTCCTCATCTCATTTCACTTCCCAATCAGGGGACAACAACCTTTTAGAGCCCTACTATCCGGGCTACTTAATAGCATGTCACATTTCAGAAAACATCAGTGCTATGTACTGAAAGGAATAGAAGTTCATTTTATTTCACAGTATCAAATTAAGCAACAAGTAGATTGCTGAATTTAGAACAGTAACAAAAATCCACAGACTTTTTTAAGCTTACTTTTTCCATAATACTCCTTAATAAAGAAGAAAAACTATAAAAGTGGAGGTAATAAATTCTTCTTTAGTTCTGCACCCACTGAGTCAATCTTTAACTGCAAACAGGTTTCAGGAACCAAATGAGAAGCTATTTCTGTGCCAGCAGATATACTTTAAAAACAAAAAGCAAAACAAAGCAAAACAAAAAATACCCTGGTTTTGGTGCTACCAATAAGTGACAAATGACACTAAAAGTTAAGAACACTAAAAATTAGGCTAGAATAAACTTTCAAATTAAAACTTACAGTAAAAACAACTAAATGAACAGTAAGAACCGAGGACAGTGCATCAAGTAGTTATAAAACAAGTAAGCATGATTGCATAGCTCAACCAGTAGAAATTCAAGTTCAAGTAAATTTAACTAAAAGGACCAATTTAATTAAATGGACTCTTTCAAGCATTTTTCTTGGTATCTGCATTAATATCATAAGAATTCCCTAAAACACATTTTATTTGCACAGTACTTTTATACAAGTGTCAACACATTTTAGAAAAGCAGCCTATTAAGTTGTGTCATGAGGGACGATATTATGATAATGAAAACAAATTTGGGGGCATTTTACATGGTGCACCTACAAAGCTATCTCTTAGACTTGGTTCAACAAAAAAGAATTAGACTTAAAGTGGTACCAAGTGCCATTCATTCAAATCTAATCAATTATGCAAGATGCAGATCCAATAAATTAAATGTGTATTTAAATGTTTAAAGTATGTTCAAGTTCTGTGCTTAGAAATACATTTGTCCCACTGGCATATTCTAAAATCTCCTTTGATAGGTCATTCATTCTATGTATCTGCAAACATTATATGTATTTGTGTGTATGTTTCCATGTATGTGTATGCATGTACACACATACACACACACAAGTTTCTTCTGTAAGAGCTATTTTTTGGAAGATTTGGCTTAGAGATTTGTTATAGTGACTACTGGGTTGTCAAAGCAGGCACAGCTGGCTAGGTTTGAAGTATGCTGCATCAACAAGTTCAACTAACTGATTACAAAGAACTGAATACCCTGTCACCATACACTTATAAACATCGGCACCATAAAAGTGTTTATGTGATAAATTCACCCATCAGCTTGGTAATCTTTATATCACTACCCTGTTTCTTTGAATGTATATAATGTAAAAGGAAAACTTTTTATACTTAACTCTGTAACTTCCATTATAATAAAAAGGGCACAGACACAATCTTCTACTTAATAGTATAAAAAGACCAACAGTTACAGTCAGCCCTATGGATGGAAACTATTTAAACCTAGATTTCATGGTTGTAGGGCTTAAGTGTCTTGCTAAAGCTTAGATTCATGATATATAGCTTACAAAGTGTCCTACTATTTAAAAGTACTCCTATATACACATTCCTATGCCACATGCCTCTGATTTCCAGAAAAAACATTACAGAAGCTATCATAAATGACATATTTTACAGACTAGACTATGAATCATATCAAAATTGTTTTAGTCCCCATCTTAAAAGCGCTGTAAATTAGGTTTTACATAAGTATTCTTAAATATATAGCTGGATATATCCATAACCTGCATATAACTATAAATCCAAAGACTGAGTTCAACAATCCCACATCCTCTTAGAAAACTCTACCAAGCACAGTTCTATGGGCATAATACATATGTAGGTAAATAAATATAAATTTTCTATCAAAATCTTTTAGACTTTCATATTCCAAGAGACTGCTTGCTGTTAACTCATAAAACACAAATTCAGACTGGCCGATCTGATACAAAGGTCATCAGCACACAGTTCATAATAAGCAGCAGGATCACCTGCTGGGCATTACTAAAAGGAAATATTCCTAATGTGGACAGACTTCTACACATTAAACCATCCCTAGCAGTTTTCATTACTATCCTCATTTAGTCGAAACATTAAATGTATTTAACAAAATCTAGTATATAACTTTGTCATTCAAGTACTAAAGTTCACAACTATACAAAGAATGTTTCAAATTTTTCTGAAAGTTCAGAGGAAACAATTACATTTTTAATTAAGTAGCTACTTTAGACTCACGATCACCTCTGTTATGATCCTCTTTAAAATAAAGAGTGAGGATAAACACTATTCCAAAAGGGATAGCATATCTGGATAAAATATAAAATATACTAGACTAGTAGTATTTTAGGTGAACAACACAGATATTTAAGTGTTTTTTAGGTATACAATGTGATCAACACAAACAGTTTCTCTCTTCATATCTGCCACCACATTTGAACAATCAGCACACTATTTCTTCTGTTTTATAAATAAATTCTGTATGCTTTCTGTTGCAATTGTTTGGAGTATAACCTATAGCACAGTGATTTATAATCTAAAGTAATAAAGATTATATTTTAATTCAGCTCTTATATGACTTCGTGCTTCTGAAGCTTTTTTGCTTTTATGTTTGCTTCAAGACAGAGGTAGATTTAGTAAAGCCTGGGCACTGCCAGACTTCCTGCCAAAATGCAATTATCAATATTCACAACACTGCTATTGTGCAGTTTTCAAGAATACTTGAAAAGTTCAGAACCATTATATAACACCAAGCTCTCCTTTTCAAGCTTGAGTGAAATAATTGCATAATGAATGTATATTCACAAACAGCTATAAAAGTTCAAACAACAGAAGACAAATATAGCTACATCAAAATGAACAACCAAAACAACAAACAGCAATCTATTTTAAAAGGGGTGCATCTGAATGGAAACTTTTGTTTCATTTTTGCTTTTTAAAAGTGCATCGTATTTTTTCTTTTCCATATTACATAAAAATATTTCTACCAATACTGGTAATGTGAAAAAGAAATCAGAAGCTAGCTAGCCACTTCAGTCATTTTCTTCACCACCCATTAGAGCTGAAATCCTTCCATCGGTGCCTCCTGCTGCTGAAATACAAACTGTTGCTGGCTTTCATCCACTGTAGGTACAATGCTGGGATCATCATCTTCTACACCAAAATAGTGTTCAATCAGATCAAAAGCCTTTTGATAAATTTCCTGATTTTCATGACTTTGCAGAAACTCAATTTTATCCAAGCCTATCACAGAAAGAACACATACAAGAAACAAATTATTATTAGGGCTTCGGTATATATTATATGAAAATAAAACAATAGCATCCGTTCACTTCAGAAATTTTTCGATTTATTTTTTGCACAAATCAATGAGTTTACACTTAAGCCATATTCTTTAAGAATGACGAGTATTGGAACCTAGGGATGTAGTTCACTTGGTAAGAATGCTTGACTCGCACACAGGAAACCATAGATTCAAACACCATTACTGCATAAAACCAGGCAAGTGGTACATGCCTGAAATCCTAGCACTGTATAGGCAAAAGTTCAAGATCATCCTTGACTACACAAAGAGCTCCAGGACAGCCCAGGCTAATGAGATCCAGCTTTTCTAAGTAAGAATACAAAAATAAGTAAACGCGGGGGGTGGGGGGGGGTGGGGGGGGAAGTACAGGGAAGTACAATGTGAAGACAGACACCAGCTAGGAAGGAAGATTACAAGCTCTAGCCAGCCTGCTGCTGTGTGTTCTTGACTAGGACAAGAAGTTCCATTATCTGCACTTGAGTTACAGAAGTCTAGTTTTAGACTAACTCCACAGACCCTTTCTAGAACAATGAAGAACAATGCTAAACAATGAAGAACAATGAAGAATGCTAAACAATGAAGAACCAAAAGAGAAACAAAGCAAATAAACAATGTAAACCATTCTGAACTAGAGGGTTTCGGTATGAAACACATGCAAACTATATTTGAATCCATGACACTTCACAACAAAATATCATATATAGTTACAGAATGTCCCCAAAGTACAACCTATAAATGAACCTTGAAAAAAAAATTCATTCTGAAAGAATGAGAGAAATGTATAGCATCCTATTTTATTGCTTTCAGGAAAAAAATTCTACACAGATTTGAGTAATGCTAGAATATTTTTCATTCAAAGACAAATTACATTGGGCCAACTAGATGATTCAGCAGGTAACGGTACCTGGCAGCCCCAGGAAGTGGAAGGCGAGAACTGATGCCACAAAGCTCTCCTCTGACACTCACATGTGCACTGTGGGACTCATGTCCACAAACGCACACTAATAATAAAAAAACTTTTTTAAAGAAGACCTGACATTGGATATTGTACAGTATGGAATAAGCAAAGCAGCCCCCGTCTCTGTACACAAAAACAGAACACCCCCAAACTCCAGTATAATCTGGGATTAAAAAGACTGTTCATAAGGAAATACTGATTTTTAACTTTATTTTTTATTTATGTGTATGTGTGTCAGCAAGCTTGAACTTACGTGCATGCAGGAGCCTAAAAAAGTCTGAATCTATGGATCACCTGAAACAGGAGGTTGTGACCTGCCCATGTGGTTACTGGGACAGAATCTGGGTCCTAAACTAGCACAGTGTGCTGGCTGGATTCTGTCAACATGACATAACCTAAATATATCTGGGAAAGGAAAACTACAACTGAGAAAATGCCTCCATAAGATCAGGCTGTGGGCAAGCTTCTGGGCATTTTCTTAATTAGTGATTGATGGAGGAGGGCCCATCCATTGTGGGTGGTGCCAACCCTGGGTAGGTAACCCTGGAGTATATAAGAAAGCAGGTTGAGCAAGCCATGGGGAGCCACAGATATCTTATATATTTGAAATAAGGTTAATATACCTCAGGCTTCATTTAAGAATCTTAAGTAAAAGCTTCAATATACAAAAAAAATGAGACTTAATAGAGAACAGTAAATATTCCTATAATAAATCTTTTAAAATTCAATTTAGGTTCAACTCTATTGTGAGTTAAATTTCTTAAGAAGACAAAAAAAATTGACTAAGATAAGTTTGGTGCTGTACATCTCTAATCCCAGCACTTGGGAGAGAGAAGCAGGAGGCTCTCTGTGATTAATCAGCTGGTCTACACAGCAAGTTCTAGGATAGCAAAAACCGTACAGGCAGAAGCTGTTGCTCCCCTTCCCCCAACCAAAGGGGAGGGAAGGAGAAGGGAAGGAGAGAAAAATCTGACCAACAAAAATTAATTTTTGCCAGATGGTAGTGACTGACACATAACTTTAAACCCAGCACCCAGGAGGCATGGACCATTATGTCCAGATGAATTTTCAGGAATGCAAATGCTGGAAACTGAGGTAGATGCCAATTTTGGGCTATCTAGTGAGTTCTATGCCTGTCTCAGCTACACAGCTGACAGTTATTATTAAAATAAAAATCCCAAACCAAGCCCAAAACTGCTACCAGTAAACAGAAGAAATAAAATTTCACGCAAAAATATGATTATTTTGGCTTATATAAAGCACTAAACAATTTAGAAACTAATGATCAATTATAAGCATGTAGCTAAAACTGCTAAAATATTACTTAAACTATACTTACACATCTATTTGATACCTTATACATCTATTCAATCATGGAGAAGTGTACAACACACACTACTTAAATCAATTTAAAGTACTTGTTCAAAAATATAAAAAGGAAGGTATACAAGGAAAGTTAAATCGTAAAAAGAAAAGTAAACGATGAAGATGAATTGCTGCAATGAGTCATGGGCAATTATTTTTAAATATTATACTGCATTTATAATGAAGAAAACTGATGGAATGGGGGAGGGTGGAGGTGCAGAAGGGGGAGAGGCCTTTTAGGGAAGGTCATTATGAATTAACTATAACTACAAACTTTCAACTGCCTGCTTACCATATGCTTCTTCAATGAGAGAACAGTATGGATTGACACTCATTCCATTCTGCTTAGATTCTTGTTCTCCAAGACGTAAAATATTTTCAAGTCCATTCAAAGCCACTTGAACTATTTTGGAGTCCATGACAGTCAAAAGGTCACAAAGTGGTTTAATGCAGCCCAAGGTTACCAAATACCTTCACCAAAATTTTAAAGAGAAATGGGGGAGGAGGGTTTAAACAATGTAAATCATAATAAAACAAAACCAGAATGAAATGTTATATAACCAATAATAAAAGTGTTTTTATACACACTTGTTGCTGTTCTTTTTTGAGTCAGGGTCTCACTATGTAGCCCTTGCTAGCCTGGAACTTGCTATGTAGGTCAGGCTGGCCTTGAACTCACAGATTTGACTGCCTCTGCCTCCTGAGTGCTGGGATTACAGGGGTATGTCTCTATATCTGGCTTAAATGCAGAAAGTATTTTATTTACATTGCAATCTGCAACCCTTTTTCTCCTGTTATCCAGTTTCATGTACTTAGCAATAATAGAATTACAAATAATACAAAATGTATACACACAGAACAGCACTTGGATGATTTTGCTGAGGAGGGTTAGAAATAGTAGGTTCCACCCACACTTTTTTAAAAGTGAAATGTGTTCTCTCTTTCCTTCCCTCCCTCCTCCTTGGTTTATTTGTTGGGAAGGTATAAATGAGAAGGAAAGGAAACACCAAATTAAATCAAAAGATTTCTTACAACAGCAATCACAGCCAATGCTCTGAAACATACACTATATTTCAGAAATTCAAAGGATCGAAAGAAGAAAACAGGCTACCTGGTAAATGTGAACCAGTACTGTTTACTGAAATAGCCCATAATTGCCTAATGCATTACTATTACCTACTTTCCACTTCCTCTAATATAAATGAAACACAAAGGGCAAAAACGGGCTTTGAAGCCAGATTGCATGGTTTCAAATTCTAATTCCATTTTTAGTTAGTTATGTGCCTTTGAGCTCTCTACCCCACTTTCCCAACAGGAAATATTTTATAGAAGTTTCTGCTCCTTTGAAAAAGGAGTGTGTGTATGTGTGTGTGTGTGTGTGTGTGTGTGTGTGTGTATACATATATTTTCAAATATTGTACAGCTTTTGTGGGAAAATGTATGGCACTGAAAAAGGCATACAACAGTGAGAACTTGTCTCTAAAAACCAAAAACAAACAAGATAATGATCTAACGCCTGGTGGACTTAAAATCCTTTGATTCATTAACATAACATCATAATTTGTCTTACTTTATAAAGTTTTAAGAGTTACATATTTGTTAGAAAATATTTCTTAAATAGTGACTTCGAGTTTTATGGAAGAATTCTTAAAATGAGAAGGTTATATAGAGAAGTCAAATTTATCTGAGGAACAAAGTCTATCTTTGCTATACAAGTCAAAAAGATTGAAGACACATGATACAAAGAGACTGGAATCAATATTTGAAATGACAGTTACAAAAGACAGCAGTACCTTATTCTAACTGAGAACCTAATGCTCATTAAGCACTGTCCTGAGCATTCCAAGTGCATACATTTTACTTTTGATACAGTTACTGAATTCATTAGCAAGAAGAAACTGGACTAGAAAGGTTAAATGATTCTGTCAAAACTGATCCTCTCACAAGTTTACCAAAGGATGAGGACTTGATCAGTATTTGGCCAGACTTACTTAAAGTCATGGACCAATTCTGAATGCTGTCAGTAATATATATATTATTATATAAGGCATAGATTATTAACATACAGGAGTACAGGAGGACAAGGACAGATAGTGCATAAAAGTATTACACTATCTACTGCAAGACAACAACCAATAAAGAGAGAAGACCATTAAACAAATGCATATTTTAATTTTACTTTAAACATGCTGACATTCATATTTGTTACTTCTATATAATGAAGTTAATTTTGTGATTTTAATGCTTGAAACAAATATAATCCCCACGACAGTTTATTCTGCAAACCAACAAATTCTTCCATTTGAAGTTCTAATCTCTACCGAGGAAGATGGGTTAACTTTCACTTAAGCAAAATAATAAAAGAAACCAAATGAAAAGATACAACAAATGCTGTCATTTCCTGTTAATGCATGTCAAACAGACCTAAAAATGTTAGTTTCATCAATCAATAAAAAAAGTTTATTTCAAATTGTCTGATTCATATTAAAAGACAGTATTAAAGAATCTAAGTCCACCTTATTTGCTCTGGAGTGCCTCCCGATGTGGCATTAGTTATAGCCCATGCTGCTTCTTTTCTGGTACGAAATTCCGCTTTCTGGAGAACCTCAATCAAAACAGGGAAAATACTTGCATCTATGACAGCCTAAGAAGAAAAACAATCCCACAAAATTAATGCAAATACTGTTTCAGAACTACTGTCACATGGAGTACTGAAGTAAAGAGGCTTTAAAATCTGAGAGCAGCTGGAGGATGGCTCAGCAGTTATGGGTTTGCCTTTTACAGAGGACATGGGTTTGGGTCACAGCAAAGACACCAGGGGACTCCTGATGACCTGTGCCTTCAGTTCCAGGGGATCTGACACCCTGGCTACCACAGGAACCTGTACACATGGTGCTTTACATAAACTCACTCAGGTGCACACACAAACAACTTTTTTTTAAATTTAACTTTATTTTATGTGCATTGGCATAAAGGTGTTAGATCCCCTGGGACTGGACTCTCAGACAGCTGTGAGCTGCCATGTGGGTGCTGGGAACTGAACCCCGGGTCCTCTGGAAGAGCAATCAGTGCTCCTAACCACTGGGCCATCTCTCCAGCCCCCACACACAATTTTTTTAAATTTTAAAATGTCAGACATTTTCAAAAGATTCTGTTTATAATCTGTCAACACTTTAACTGCTTTTTTGTTCTGAAAAAAGAAATGAGCTTTTGTAAAGAATGGAGACTGTGTCAGTAAAATATAAACATCAAAGGTGATAAACCGTAGGCATGTGACTAACCAAGTGGGTGTTCTTTTGCTCAAAAAAGTTGACAGACCTAATAAACACTGAAAGCCAACAGAAAGATGATTCCTAACATTTAATCCTCTGCCCAGACTGGGTCTCCCCATACAGTCCATTCTGGCCCCAAAATCATCATCCTGAATCTCTCTCAATTTAAACCTGATGTGACACATTTTTTTTTTCAAAAAGAAAAAAATCTTTTCTTCTTCCCAGACAAGGTGTCCCTATATAGCCCATTTGGCCTCAAAATCATACTTTCCTTCTGCTTCAGCTTCTTAAGTACCAGGATTACAGGTGGGAACTACAGTGCTCAGCAGAAACCATTCATTTCTCTAGACTAACTTTATGGTTCAGATACTTTTATAGATGCAATTGGTATTCCTCACTAGAATACTAAACACAAATTATTTAGAGAAGAAAAGGTCATGTTGAATGCCGGGTATCTCAGCTTAGACCTTCCTATTGTCATCTCAACTCTGCAAGGCACTTACCTGGATCTGAGCTCTGTTTCCTGCAGTGATGTTAGAAATGGTCCAGCAAGCTTCCTTTCTAACTGACTCCTTTGGACTACCCAACAAGTGTAAGAGGCAGGGCAATGCAGAACAGTTCAAAATGACCTAAATTGGGTAAGACAGAAAACAAAAAGGGTTTTAGTATAAATGCAAAAATCTTATGAATTACTTAGAAGTACAGAAATCAATCTGAAAACAAAGAAATAAATTCCTTTCAAGGTAAAAATTAGGCAACTGTTAACCTTTCCACCTTGCTTTTTGCAAAGCTTCCCTAGAGCTAGTGCAGTTCTCCACCAGAGTGGGAGTCAGAGACATGGCCTTCAAATACATAAAGTAACAAGCTCCAGCATTATCAGCACAGATTATGCTTTGAAGACTATTACCAAGTAGGAAAGATTTGAAACGGTTAGGATTTCTGGTCATACCCATAAAAATGTCTGCAAAGTGCAATGTAGAAAATTACTCAAAGAAAGATTTAGTGATGGAAGACAGGATTTAACCTCATTTTCAAAACAAATTACTGAATGATATTCTTTCCCCAACAGGTTTCTATAGCATCACAAAAAAATTTCAAGTACAGAATAAATTTATTCTGCTTTCATAATTTGGCTTTTATAATGAAATATTATCTAATTAGGTGTGTGGCTAATGCCTTTAATCCCAGTATTAAAAAAGCAGAGATTAGCAGGTTTAAGTTCAAAGCCAGTCAGAGTTACTAATGAGACCCTGTCTCAGACAAAAATCAACTGACTTAAGTACTGTCTGCTTTGTCCTATATTCACAATCATCCACAATGCTTTTTGATTTACTGAGGGTAAAGGTATGCAGCATTAGGACCTTGAAAATTTTGCTGGTAAGTGCAGTGTATCCCAGTATAGAGAGCTACTCTTAAAATGGGTATTATGGACTGACTGCTAATGATTACTCTCAAAATAGAAGTCTAGCCCAAATCTGGAGTCAATCTTAACCTCTTACCATTCTCCAAAAACAGGCATGTGTATACAAGTTAATCACCAATTCTGGAACCATTTCCTTGTTATCTTTCCTTTGGCTTCATAGTCTATAACCTATGTATAATGAACGACAGCTCCTATTCAAATTTAATGGTTCTTAAACATACCTCAGGGTATCTGCCTTTCTCCTCTACTGAAGTGCTACTCTACTTATTTAGTTCCACCTGTCTACAGAAACTACAGATTTCTCATCACACTCATCTTTTCTATTAATCCTCAACAGCACCTACTGGATTGATCATAGCACATTCATTTCCTTGTTAGTTTGTTTTAAGCCTCAAGCTCTATTGATTTAGTTAGCTGGGCACCCGGCTTTATTTCAATGACTTCTAACTAGTTAAGATTCTGAATGAGATAGCCCAGGTTTGAGGTCTCCATCCGGTCACTTCCCTTGGAGCTTGTCCTGCAGAAGAGGAGGAACTGTGGGAGCCACAGGAATTGAGCACACCAGGCCCCAAAGGCCTAGGGACTCCACTAAGCAGGGCTCATGGTAATTTTTCAGAGACTGAAGTGGCAGTCACACAACCTGCATGAGTCTGTGCTAGGTCCTGTGCATGTATGTTATGGTTGTTGGCTTAGTGTTTTGGGAGATTCCTGACAGTGGAAGTGGGGGTGTCTCTAACTCTTTTGCCTGTTCTCGGGACCCTGTTCCTCTTAGTGAGTTGCCTCACCTAGCCTTAATGTGAGGGCTTCTGCCTGGTCCTATTGTACCTTGTCATTCCATGTCCAATTGATGTCCCTGGAAGGCCTGCTCTTTTCTGGGGTATGTGGGGAAATGGAGACAGCTGGGGGAGGAACTGGGAGGAGTGGAGGGAGGAGAAGCTGCAGTCAAGATGTATTGTATGAGAGAAGAATAAATTAAAAAGACTTTGAATCCTCTGAGAAGAACACTTGGTATATTTGCACTAACAAAATTCTATGATAGTATATTCCCAATAAGGTAACTGAAGCTGAAAACTGGGCTTACTGCCACAGACAACTGTATAATTATACTAATAAGGCCTTGAACATATAATCAAGTGATATGAAACAATAATGCTAACAATGCGTCATAAATTCTGAACTTACCTGTGTTTGAATATCATCACCAGTCACAATATTACCAACTGCTCTTAATGCAGGTGACACAACTTTATAGTCATTGTGCCTAAAAATAAAAAATATGAGCTTATACACTAATAAGTTAACATTTATATAAGTTGAAAAATAGTACATAAATCTTCTGTATCTATCACTCAGAGATCCTACTCAATTTTTACTTACTAATATTTCAAAAACAAAAAATATCTAATCCAGTATTATAAATGCTATATAACCTCAGTTTATCTTATTAGATGACATATTGTATATACTCTGTCTTATTATTAGGAACTTAACTCTGGTCCTAATTAAGACTGTATATCATGTTACACTCGTCTCTATTCCAATTCCTCCTCTATACTATTTGATGAAGAAATAGTTGAGACCATGTAAAAATCCCATTCTTTAACCTATTTAATTTATTTTAGAGATTATAATTACATTTATCCCTTCCCTTTTCTCACTTCAAACCCTACCTTATACTCCTTCCTTCTGTTCTTCAAATTATGATCTATTTTTTTTACAAATTGTTATTGCATGCATATATGTTTATGTATACACATATTTCTAAATATACATGTACATTTTCAGTGTTAGTATCTGTTGGCTCATTACCTGAATTAGTACTTATTTGTATTTTTTATAATCATTTTGAAAACTACCATCTTGACCATATGCCTTATCTGCCTACTGACCCAGCTACATATTTTAAAGTAGACTCTGGGGTTGTTGCTAGTCACTAATTTATAATAATACATGAATGTTATTTATTCCCAAGATAATTGCTTTCTGTGTTCATCTAATTTTTCCTCATTCTAATCCAATAATTTCTCTAAGAAAAGCTACTTTCCTTAAGTAAACAGTGATACTTGGAGACAAAGAGTTGTGGCTTTAGTGTGCTCACTTATTTTTAGAGAGGTGTCCATGGCCCCAAAGCCTTAACATACATATGCACACACATACTTAAACAGCTCCTTATTTTGAAAGCCATGAGTTTACTCTGAAGGATTTAGTTCTAATCTAACAGCAAAGCCTTTTTCCCTTTGTATTTTCTGACTAAAAGTCAGTTGCTTTACTTCACATCTTCCTATATAAAGATAATCTGACAAGAGAGGCTACCAAGAATTGAGTTTTTGGCTTTAAACTTTGTTCTGGTCTGCTGTCTACCCACTCTAGTAGAAATCATACCACTGCGCCTGTCTAGCTTTCGCTGATACTATCCTCATATTGGAACATCAACCCTTTAACCAAACTCTATCCGTTGTGCTTTCTGTTTTGTTATTCTTTGAGATAGGGTCTCACTATGTGGTTCTGGGTGGTCCAGAACTAGCTATTTCTGAAACTCAGAGATCCACCTGCCCCTGCCTTAAGTGCTGGGACTAAAGGCATGAACTATCATGCCTGGTTTGCTATTAATGGCTTTTTAACAAAATGAAGACAACTTTAAGGAAGGTTGGAGGATAAAGAAGTATAACATCTTTATAAACAAAATTTTCTTTTAATGTCTTTGCATGGAAAAGCTGTAACTATAAACAAATGTAGTAATAATTGGCCAGTAGGAGAAAAATCATGGAGACACTAAGTGAATTTCCTAGCTTTGTTTCAAATTAATTATTGTAAAGAATAATAAACTAGATTACTGGTTCTGTGAAAGCAGTAACTCTATTCTCTCCTAATAACATTTCACATGTCACCTTTGTTACTAACAAAATTCTCTAAATGATTCCTGAGTTAAGGCTCCTTCCTTCAAAAAATAAAAGTTTAATTCATACAGAGATTAATTTATAAAGTAGTTTCATTGTATTTCAGAATATATGTTAAAGCACTAGGTTTATAGGTACTCTCTAAAGGGTGGAGTTAGTAACTTTTTAATTCTTCCTAAAGATGGTGACTTTTGAAATGTTTAAAAACACGATCTTAATTGTTAAACTTAATATACAATCACATAACAACTAAGTGTAAATTATAGTTACATCAAAAGTTCCACCAATCTTCGACAGACTCCAGAATCAATGACTACTTGAATTTTATCATTGGGCCCATCAGAGAGATAAGAAAGGGCCCAGCAAACATCTGCTAACACATCTGGATCACTGCTAAACAACAATCGTGATAAGACGTTTAAGCAAGGTGAAACCTGTAAGAAAAAAAAATGAGTTAATATTTAATTATTCTCTTTAGTATCAAGATTCCTTAGCAAAATGTAGAAACTTAGTTTAAGACCCAAATCTAATATAATAAAGAATTCTTCTATTATTTCAAGATTATGATTAAGTACTTGAGTATCAAAATGAATATGGTTGCTATTAATTGGTTATTAACTAAAACATGTTAAAGCAATAAAATATATATAGTATCTTCATTTAATATTTAAGCTATATAGACATCCAGACTAAAAAGCCTACATGTTTCATATTAACGAATGAATTATTAGTTTTTTATTCATTACATGTGCTCAATACAAATAAGTTGAATAAACTTGAGCAGCAAAGATAGAGGAAATGTAAAAAAAATATTCTGAAAGGTTTTCCATAAGAAGCCACTACTGCTAGCACATACTTCTTTTTCTTGTTTTATTTTAAGATGCTGGGACTTGAACTCAGGGCCCTGCATATGCTAGTTAGCCATAAGATAGACTGCCTATCCTGGTCTCACGTTAGCTAGCCAGAAGACAGACCCCCTATCCTTGTCTCAAATTTCAATATCCTGCCTCAATGTAGGGTTACAGATATGTACCACCATACTCAGCTCTATCTCTTTTTACTGTAATGAATAATGTTGTACAACTTCAATTAAAACAAAACAAAATTCAACAGGTGTGTCCAAATGCACACCTGTAATCCCAGTTCTCAGAAGGCTGAGGCAGGAGGATGAAGATTTTGAGGTCAGCCCTCACTACATAATGAAATATTGTCTGAAACAAACAAGCAAAACCCAAAGAAAATACCAGCTAAAACATGACAAAAGAAATGTCTTAACCCCTCTAGCACTGTAATTATTTCAATCCTTCATCTAACTACAACTAATCAGTGTGAAAGTGAGCAAGGCACTTGACAGCTCTCAAGACTGTTTTCAATTCTGTGAAACAGAAGATCAGTTCTGTGATCTCTGCTATATTCCTGCCAGACAGCCCTAGTTCACATGCTAGTTGCAACCTCCATGGTAGGAATAAATTACCTATTATCTGTATATCCAAATTTCTTCACTTGTAAAACAGACACAGTAAAGAACTGTTGGGTGTGTAAGAACGCATGCAGTAGCTAAGAACACGCCTGGCATCACTCACATAGGAATCACTCACATATTAGCTCTTTTTCCCCATTACCAGTACTGAGTCTCTTACCAACTTATTTTGAATTCTTTTAAGTGGAAACCTCCCATCTCCCTTAATCTTATCTCTCAGATAGGAGATACAGTAGTGGCTTTCATTTTCATTCCTTTTCTGTTGAAGATACATCCTAACCCACCCGTGGATGTCTGAAATCATGCACAGGTCTCTATGGCTTTCCTATATATACAGAGATAGGTGAATTGTCTTTCTAGTTCAACTGAGCCCTGTCAGGCACTGAAGCTGAAGTTTCAATAACAAAACTAGCATGAATCATTTTAGTTCTTTATAATTTTATGGACAAATGATTTTTCTCTTACCAAAGACTTTACCAACCTCATTATAAATTTTTCTTTTCTTATTAGTTCAAAAAATTTCATATTTTCATTTAAATGAGAAGCACTTCACAGCATGAACAAAAATTATTTGTAACAGGGTAGGAGAGTAGAAGGTTACATAATGGTACGTAGAATGGAATGCAGTTTAAAGCTCTTGAATTACTTATTTTGGGGTTTCTTGTTTGAAAGTTTACACAAAAAGTAGTTGAAAACTCAGCAATCAAAACTACAAATAACAGTAGTAGTACATATGTTACAAATGTCATAAATTAAAAAGAATTAGGATGTTTCATGTTAGTTTTCCTCGATCACTAAAGACTGAATCAGGACATAAACCGTATCTTCTAAAGCTGGTGTTACTTTTGCTGCATCTCTCCTCTAAGAATAGCAGAAGGGCTGACATACAGAATGTGGCTTATAAAAGACACGTGCCATCCATAAGTTAGTAACCAGAATTAACACAATTGGATCCTTCCTCAACAACATGCATCCACCCCTACCAACAACCTTTTTCTTTAAAAAGGGAAACTGTTATTGAATTCTTCTTTTGAAACATGCTTTTTTAAAAGATACTACTTAACACATAATTGACTTGCTATTTTTATAAATAAATAAATATTTAAAATTTCAATAGTTTAAAATTTTAATCTAGTATTATTACATGAAAGTCATATAGAAAAATAATTTGGATCCTGTGGTAGCTTGAATGACAATGGCCCCTACAGGCTCAGATGTTAGAAGACTTGGTCCCCAGTTGGTGAAACTGGAACTGTTTTGGAAAGTATTAGGGTGTGTGGCCAGTTGGAGGAAGTGTGTCATTGGGAGAAGGCTTTGAAGTTTCAAGACTCTTGCCAATACCAGTGTGTTCTCTACCTCCTGCTTGTGGGTAAAGATGTGAGCTTGCAGCTTCTGCTCTAGTCAATACATTTGCAGCTTGTCTACTTTGCTCTGACATCATGGACTCTAACCCTATGAAACGCTTTATTGGCCATGGTCACAGCATCAGTAAAGTCACTAATATAGATCTTCATAATGTTTAAGAACAGAAGGAACTCCTAAGGCCAAACATGTTAAGAATCATTTATTAAGAACTATTTATTAGTTGTTTTAAACATAGATAGTGGCTAAAGCAAGGCATGCTGTGTGAGTAGGAGGAGCAGCATGCAGTCTAGTGAGGCCAGAATGTAAAGAGGATGGCAAACAGGACGTGAGGAAGGGAGATCACAGTGGGCTGGTGTATGACAATTCTTACAGGGTATTTAACAAAATTACTGGGAACAGAGGTATAGTTTCAAAGTTGTGGATTATTCTGGCTGCTTTCTTGGGAACAAAAAAAGAAAAGAAAAGAAAATGATAGTTAGGCAAAAAATTTAAAAACGAAAGTATAAGGATGATTTGCTAAAAAGCTATCACAACAACCCTGGTGGTAAAAAATGCTGCATCCTATAGTATGAAGAGGTGATATATTTCCTTCCTCAATATGGTACTCTGAAACACTTCAAACCTACATAAGCTCTGCACAAATAGTACAATCAACACTAACATGCTGCATCCAGATTCATCAGCTAACGTTTTGCCATATCTGTTCTCTTTCAACATTCGCATGTACATCTGCAATTGTATATGTTTATGTATTTGCCTTTCCTAAGACAGGAAGCAGCTCACAGATTACAAAAATTACCATGATAGTCCACATCTAAATGCTTTGGTATATGTCTCCTAAGAAAAAGGTACATTCTTAAGTTTTCTACAATATTTTTATCACACCCACCCGCATGTGTTTTGGTTTTTGTTGTTGCTGAGAAGGGGTCTCACTAAATAGTTCTGGCTGTCCTGAAATTTACAAGCTGCCTCCCAAATGCTGGGATTAAAGATGAATCCCCAATCGCCTGGCACACCCACAAAATTTAACATTGACACAGTATTATCTCTAAGGTATCAATCACACTTTTTAGGTAAACAAGTATTCTGATCCATGATCTAATCAAGAATTAAACATTTTTTTACAGATGCCTTAAAAATACAAGATTATTATGGTAGTATAAACATGGAAATTATACTTACTTTAAGTACATAAGTCAATATGTCTATTTCTTTTGGGTATGTCATTTACATTGTAAAAATGAATACATTTTAATAACCAATATATAACCAAATTACAATCTTCTACCATTCTGAAAATTTTCCTTCTGCCCCTGGGTGGTCAATTTTCTCACCTCAGACATTCCCCAATATGATTTTCATTCTTTTAGATTTCTTTTCCAAAACATGTAAATGGAGTCATGTAAGATGACATACCTACAGACTCCTTTAGTTTAGCTTAATGCTACTGAGATTAAAGCATATGTAAGTAGCTTGTTCTTTCTTATTGCTGAGTTGTAGTTCACCATAAATGAAAGAACTAGACTACAAACATTTCTAACTCAACTCGAAGACATACAGATGTCTGGCTATGGTGGAGTTTCTGGCCAGAGAAACTAGAGGCAAAAGAAGAGTAGAAATCTATAAAATTTATTTAATTTGCTGAATGTGTAAACAGTGTCTAGCTAATAGAGAAAATAACAAAAATAAAGAGTCTACTCAATGTTAAAAAAAAGGCTCTTACCATAAGGGCACTTATTTATGGAAACATTTCTTAACTTGTATATTCCACTCATACCTTACTAAAATTTGGAGGAGGGTTTTTGCCTCTACATAGATTTGAGAGGGCCCATACAGCATTTCTGGTGGTGGTAAGTCTGTTTGAATTTGTTAATAACCTGCCAAGAAAAGAAAAAGAACTGTCATTTTTACATTCACTTTTCCATTTCAACTATTTTCTTGTAATAACTAAATTCTCTTTGACAGACTTTATAAGATATTTAAACTGGTAAGACAGAAAAGGTGAACTTAAAATTCATTAGTTTCATTAAAAATATAGTTCTATCTTTCTCAAGTCTGAATCTAATATCTAAACACTTAAATCATAATAGGCTGAAGATAATGGATATCAGAAGAAATGTACAAGATTACCTTTGAGAAAATAATGAAAAGACTACATTATACACAATCAGGAAGCAGGGAATAAGTGAAGGTCAGCTACTGGCAAAGGAAGTTCTTAGCTTTTATTTTAACAGGTCTTACAATGTGTTCTAAAAACTTGTTTGCAATGAATCCTGATAGATTCTAAGAAACCAAGTATCAGAAACAAGAATGTCTCTTCTCTCAGTTCCCTAAGAAGTTATTAACAGTTTCCCCACACTTACAACAGCATCATGGTTCAATATTCGCGTGGTTTCAATGAGACTGGCCCTCACAGGCTCATATATTTGAATACTTCGGTTCCCTGTAACTGGTGGCCGTTTGGAAAGGTTAGGAGATGTGGCCCTGGAGGAGGAGGTGTGCGACTGTTGGTGGACTTGAGGTTTCAACAGCTTCCTACCATCCCCAGTTTACTCCCTGATCGTGGCCAGGAGTGTGAGCTCCTAGCTGCTGCTCCAGCCACCATGACTTCTCTCTACCATGACAAACTCTAACCCTCTGGAACTGCAAGCCCAGACCAATTAAACTTTTTGTTGTTGTTGTTTTGTTTTGTTTTTTGAGACAGGGTTTCTTTATAGCTTTGAAGCCTGTCCTGAAACTAGTTCTTATATACCAGGCTGGCTTTGAGCTCACAGAGACAGATGCCTCCCTCTGCCCCCCAAGTGTTGGGATTAAAGGAGAGTGCCACCACCGCCTTGCCAATTAAACTCTTTTGTAAGACACTTTGGCATGGTGTTTTAGCACATCAATACAGAAGTAACTAATACAATTAAATTTATATTTTTGTTAATCTATATGTTAATTATGTCTAATTAGGAGATGCCCAAGATAGTGAAATGACTTAGCAGGCAGGCACTTGCCATCAAGCCTGACACCTGAACCATCCACAGGATCCAGATGACAGAGGTGGAGAACTGACTCCAACAAGCTGTCCTCTGCACCCTACATGAACACACACTAAACGGACAATAGCAGATTCCTTAATATGACATCATACTAATTCTTTATATACACACACCAGAACCAGCCATGTAATTTCAGGAGTTTATTGACCTTCATAAAGCTGCTAGAAATATTGAGAACCTAGGTTGGAAAAAAAATCCCATTTTGAAATGACATCAGCAAAAGCAGTCAAGAAGGGAACCCTGAAAAACTTCTCCTGCCCCAGAAGCACCACAAACAAACAGCAAACAACACCTAAACTGATGTGGGAGTGTCATATATCAACCTGTTGATTTCATTGGTTAAGCAATAAAGAAACTGCTTGGCCCTCATAGGTTAAAACATAGGTGGGAGGAGTAGACAGAACAGAATGCTGGGAGAAAAAAGCTGAGTCAGGGAGTCACCATGATTCTCCCACTCCAGGCAGACGCAGGTTAAGATCATTCCTGGTAAGCCAGCTCGTGGGCTACACAGATTATTAGAAATGGGCTAGTCCAGGTGCGAGAGTTAGCCGAGAAAAGGCTAGATATAATGGGCCAAGCAGTGTTTAAAAGAATACAGTTTCTGTGTAATTATTTCGGGGCATAAGCTAGAGCTAACCATGTGGGCGGCCGGGTGCCGGGGACGCAGCCCTGCAGCTCCTACTACAACACTAAACCGCGATGGAAACCCCGTGCTTATCAGTTTTGTCAGAATTCTAAAAGACAGCTAAATGCTTACAGCCACGGAAGGACTAAAACATCTCACTGAACCTTTCTAGTGTTTTAATTCACACTTGCTCAAGCCCATCTCTCTAGTCTGCCAGCTGACTTTAAAATGATATATTTTTCTCTTCTGGAAGGTCCTTATTCCAGAGGACCAGAGCAAAAGCATATACCTTGTTTCCAGGTGATTATACATGTGTTGCCAGCTTTGTGGGGACACTTAAAAATGGGTACAATGTGTATTTGTCTTTTTTTTGCCTATCTGGGAAAATTCAGATGTGGGAAAGTAGCTAAATGTCTTTTAGTAAAAAGCAGAAACCTCAAGTAAAGAATATAGGGCAAATGGGAGACACTGAAAACATGGAAGGAAAACTAGGGAGTGAAATCCTCTGGGGAAATAAGCCATTCGAATAGCTTTCAAGTAGACATCAAGATAGTAAAACATCTTCTGGTCAGAGTACACACTCAGGAAAACACCTAGGAAGGCCCTTGCCATCCGCCTGACTTTCAGACTTAGCATAAACAGAAAGTAAGGGCTGAGTTCATAGTACTATCTGGCCCAGCTAAGCACCACATGTCTGATAACATAATGACAATTTTTAAAACATCTTTTTTTTTTTTAAGCGCTAGAGAGTAAAATTGGCTGCTAAAAGCACTTATTGTTCTTGCAGAGGACCCAGATTTGAGTCCCAGCATCTATATGGTGATTCATAACTAGGTGCAGCTCCAGTCCCAAGGGATCCAACTATCTTCTTTTGATCTCTGCAGATATCAAGTTCACACGTGGGACATAGGCATACATGCACGCAAAACTCTCACATATGAACTTAAAGAAAAAAACTTTAAACAAGCAAATATAGTAAGGATCATTAGGACCCAAGAGAGGATAATCTGAGGTCTATTATAATCAAAATGTGCAGTTTTCAACAAAGAATTAAGAGGCAAAGTTAAAAAAAAAAGAATTAGACATTGGATTTTACCACAGATGCTTTACATCTATTATCTTAAACAGGCCCCCAAAATACTAAACTACAGACCAATATTCCTTATGAATATACATATAAAATTTTATAATAAAGTTCTAGGAAAATTAATTCCAAGAAATTATTTAGTAATTAAAATTATTAAGGAGTATAACCTAATAGGATTTTATCCTAGAAATTCAAGAATGGTTCAATAGTCATATATCAACGGGATAAACTACATTAACAAGATAAAGAAAACATGATCAAGCCTATAAATTGAAGGAAACCAACATTTTCATAATGAAAAACAAAAATAAAAGGAAATCATTTCAACATGATAGAAGAAGGGAAAGAATACAAACTGGAGAAGAGAAAATGAAACTATCTCCATTTACATGTGACATAATGTGAAGTATAGAGGCCGCTTGTTCATTTCCCGGTGGCCTAGATTCCCAAAATAATCACACAGAAACTATATTATTTAAATCATTGCTTGGCCAATCACTTGAGTGTATTGCTAGCTAACTCTTACATCTAGTATTAACCAATTTTGAGTATTTTATATTTTAACACAAGGCTCATTGCTGTGGAAGCACATTCCGCTCCTTTGCCAAACGCTTTTAAGATACCAGCCTACTGGGGCGTGGTCTCTTACACTTTAAAAAGCAGCGGGAACCATGCACTAAGCTCCTGTCTGGCTGCTAGACTCTGTTTGCGCTCAGAGGACTATTGTGATCTGTAAGTTTTACCCTTAAATAAATAACCCTTTTATTATCCTAATTCTGAACTGGTGTGGGATTGTTTTACAGCATCAGCTCGGTGGCCTACTGGCAAAGTTTCAGCCTGCATCTGTCTCTGGCAGTGGCTCCATGGCTTCTTCCTGACTCCTCCTTCCTTCTCTCAGCATTCAGTTTAGTTTTCTCCACCTAACTCTGTTCTACCCTATCAGGCCACGCCAGTTTCTTTATTAACACATGGTATTCACAGTATGCAGAGGGGAATCCCACATCAATATAATCTCATATACAGAAACCTAATAATCTGTAAGGTCGAGACATATAATAAGACCCAATACCAAAAAGGAAAAAAGAAGCTACTAGTTACAACAAATAAATTCACAAAGTTGCAGGGTGTAAGCTCAAAACTTTAAATTAACTGAATCCCCATATACTTCTATGACAAGCTTTAAAAAATCAAAACAACACTTTTATTTACAACAAAAATAAAAAAAACATGTTCTTGGGTTATCAATGAATAAATCCATTACAAGTTAAAAACACTGCGAGAAAAAGATATACAATGTATCTAACCTATTAGTATGTTTGGATCTTAAATAGTCTTTAAATGCCATGCTAAAGATTCAAGTGATAATAGAACCTACTGGAGGTAGTATGTGATAGAAATAAATTAAGTTACTAGAGGAATGACTCTAAGATCTGGAAACTTTGGTCCTTTCTATATGTTAATTTCGTTCTGGACTGCTGGGTCAGCAGTCAACATCCCTGTTATGATGTTCTGCCTCTGCAGGGGCACAAAGTAACCCTGGCAAGTAATCTTGTACTGAAGCCTCTGAAACTGTGAGCCAAAAATAACCCTTTCCTCCATACAAGTTCATCACAATGATAGAAAACTAATATACCTACCTAAATAGCTCAGCAGCACAGTACTCTACAGAGGGTCAGTTGTTTGCTCTCACCTTATGGCTAACTAGAAGCTGCAGTTTGCCAGTGCACAACTTGATATCCACAAGAATATCACTCACATACTGCTAGTCCAGGAAAAGGTCAGAGGTCAAAAAAGAGCATCCATCAAATGTATTTCACTGTTAGACCATTAAGCCAATCAAGCATATATTCAAACAATGTAAGCTAGAGACTGTTTTAAAATAAAGTTAATCAAGGCATAAGTCTTTGTTTACTAAAAACTACAAAATATTTAAAGACCTAAATAAATTATATTACATCCCATGTTTTTCTATTTAAACACTTAATATTGTTAAGAAAGTAATGTGGGATTCCCCTCTGTATGCTATAAATACCACTGAATAATAAAGAATCTCCTTTGGGCCTATTGCAGTGCAGAATAGGGCAAAATAACCTAGAGAAATAGTACCAAAAATATACAAAGAAACAAAATGCTCAGTTAATTATCTGATCTACAAATCAAATAATCAAATCAGAAAAATGTCACTTGGAAAGGACAACGACCAAAAAGTAAGTCCACAGTAGTAAAACTGTAGCAAACAATTCAGTGGTCTGCATGCAACTGGCTCTTGATTTAATCAAGTTTATTTAATCATATTTTCATGCTAAGAAATCATTTCTATAGTGTTGTTTATTACAACAAAGGGTTTCAAATTAGTCTAGATGTTTAAATGTATTCTATTTAATTCCTCCCCTGAAAAGGATGGAGAATATCACAAAATGATAGATATTTTTTCTTCCAATCATCTCTTTGATTAGTTTTTTCTTTCATAATAATTGTCACTGAAATTTAATGTACAGATAATTTCAGTGAATGCTAATTATTTTATATAAAGAAATCTCTCTTTCAAACAATTTATCAGTTTTTTTAAAGGACCTTACATCACAGCATAATGTACTTTTAAATATCAAGCAGCTAAGACTCTCACTCACTGCTCTTCCAGAGCTCACTCAGTTCCCAGCACCCATATCAGGCAGCTCACAACTACTATAACTCCAGGTCTAGAAACTCTGACAGCCTCTGCTGTTCTCAGGAACCTGCACTCACGTGAACATGCTCCCAACACAGACACACATACATAAAGATAAATCTTAGCAGTAAAGCAGCCAGACAAGAAACTACTTGCTCAGTCACTGTAAGTAAAAAGTAACTTTCAAGGACTAAACCAAAAATCTCTTGTGGTCATTGTTCTGAGGACATTTTAAAATCAAATATAAAATTCTGTAGACATTGTAAGTACACAATTTGTTTAAGTATTAAAGATTCCATTTTATAAGGCCCTGGAAACACAGTACAGTAGCTAAAAGCATTTGCTGTTCTTTCAGAGGACCTAAGTTCAGATCCTAGTTCACAACTTCCCATATATAACTCTAGTTTCAGGAATCTGACACCCTCCTCCTTTGGCCTCCATAGACAACTGCAGTCAGGTGCACATCCCCCTAACCCCAAACACACACACAATATATACAGAACATTTTTAACCTTAAAAAGTTGTTCATACTACAGGACCATTTAAATGTTGTTATACTATAAAGTAGTGGCTGTCCTTGTTAATTATTTTAGCACTGAAAGCACCATGCAAGTGGTGACTACTAAGTACAGATGAAGAGAACACAGAAGACTTGTTTGTGTGTGCGCACACACACACACACACACACACACACACACACGCACATGTGTCTGTTGGGGGTGGAAGGTGGGTGGATGTGTGTTTCGAGACAGGGTTTCTCTGTGTAGTCCTAGCTGTCCTGGAACTTGCTCTGTAGACCAGGCTGGCCTCTAACTCAGAGATCCACCTGCCTCTGCCTCCTGAGTGATGGGCTTGCACCACCATCACCTGGCATCATAAAAAACATTTTTTAAAAAGCATACAATTTGAATTTTTTTCTCTGGTTTTCCTACTTTTAAATAACTTTTGGCCTGGCCAATCATAAAACTACAAAATAAAACAATGTTTGAGAATTTAACTGTTATATAGAAATGGAGGAGTATATAACTTTTTTTCCAAATGCAAAATTAACTTATGATAAACTGAAACAAAATACTTACTCTAAAAGAGGTGGAAGTATCTCACAATTCAAAACAAAATCCCTGCATTCTGCATTGTCACCAGCAATGTTACCAAGTGCCCAAACAGCCTGAGAAAAATAAAACATTGCTTTTAAGACAATATCCTAAATCAGACACTCTCTGCTAAGAGAATTTTTCTAAAGTAACAATGTTTTCAAGAAAATGTGAAAAAACAAAGGCAAGGAAAGACAAAAGGATAGGAATTTTTAAATGAAATGCTACATATTTTAAATCATAAGGTAAGGGCACTTAAGTTTCTCTTATATTCTAGTGAACTCTCAATAATATTCAAAGAAGAGCTTACAGAATCTCTTTTGAATCCACCAAGAGAGATAAATTTATCCAGCAAATTTTCTAATTATACAAGAGATTTGCTCCTCTGTTAAAAAATCTTTTAGCTAGAATGGTACTAATTTTTGAATAAGAGTTAAAAAACATAGTATAAATAATAACTAAGATGAGAATTAGATGAACACTGAAAATTTAAGATTAGTCAGTTTAGTATAATTTTGAAAGTAAATATTAGGAATCTTAATCATATGAGTGACTATCCAAATGAAAATTTCCATTTTATCACAGTCTCACTTTAAAGCTTTCAGAGAAATACAAAAGTATATTATGTTTTCAACTTAGAAAGTCTTATTTTAGAATTTAAAACATGAATCATTATTTTTAACATCTATTTGAGACCTAAGATTAAAATTTTTTAAAAAAATGTTTAAAACCAGACCAAAAAATACTTTAAAGATAATTCTTACTATCTTATTAGTAAACCTTAATAATATTATCAAGAGGGGGGCAGATATGGTGACGTGTACTTTTTATCCCAGCAAGCAACTTGGTGGCAGAGGCAAATGTATTGCTGTGTTTGAGGTCAGCCAAGGCTACATAGGTTGCCCTGCCTTAAAAAGAAAAGTACTCTCTCTCTGTAGGTGGGGCTATATATGCGCAATCATTTCTATATGCTTTGAGAGGGTAATTCCTTTCCTCTAATAAATGTATTTAAATAAATGTTATGCAAATTGGGAATAATAATGAAATAGAAGTCAAAATTACAAGTAGTATTTTCAAGAGAAAATTAAAATCTCTATATACAACATGCTGCACAAGTTAGGAACTTACCTGCTCCTGCACATCTTCATGTTCTGAAGTGAGAAGTTTGATGAAAATTGGAACAGCTCCAGTTTCAATCACTACCTTCGTATGCAGAAAAGTTCCAGATGCTATATTAGTTAATGCCCAGGCAGCTTCAAACTAAGGAAAGAAATCAAGTTTATAGATGGAAAAATAATATTTAAAAAAGCAAAAAGATTCTTCAGATTTGCACGAACTAAAACCAAATAGAAGTATATTTATAATGTCAAAAATATGTAAATACAACTTAATTTATTTAACTTCTAATATTTACTATTTCAGAGTGGTATTCTAAAGCAGGCTCTTCAAAAACAAATGAGACACTACTATGGAGTGAAAGAATCATACATGCTATATGCATCCTGGGGGGTCATGTCACCCCAACCTCATTTAAAAACATGAAAATTAGAATGTGAGACATTTAGATGTTTGTTCAACATAAGGTTTTATTGTTAACAGAGGTGGGACTAGAAGTGTGGTAGTCTTTCATACAACAGGACCTCTGAAAGACTGAAAAGAAAAACCCTGAGAAATAGTTTATATTTCACATCAATGGAGATGATAGCCTTCATCAGTTGTAAATAAGAAAACAAACAGAAAGCAACTACAAGTTTACAAATCTGACCTCTATCCCCTAGGAGAATGCATCAGTAAGACTGGTAAAGTCACACCCTACTGAAGAACTGAACAAAATGGAACACACGGCCATGACATTAAAGCTGGAGTGATGGCTCGGTGGTAAAGAGCATGGATGCTCTTACAGAGAACCCACGTTTGATTCCCAGCACCAAAATATGGGTGCTCAATCTGCCTCTAACTGCAGATGGATGCCTCTGATCTCTGCGGGCATTGGACTCGGGCAACAGATCCACACACACAAACACAACTGTATTTATGTAGTAGCAATGACAACTATTTTGATTTGCTAAAAATGTGAAATAGCTGTATATTTGAAGTCTGCGAGTTTTTAAATGTGTACAAATCTAACAAAAATTGCCTATAGACAATATATTTCACAGGAACCTAGTTTGAACTTAGACTGATGATCTGAACTAGCAGATTAACCCCCACTTAAGTAACAGTATGGAGTGATCCCCAAATTACTCTGGTGAATTTTATCAGGATCGAATAAAGATTCAAGTTCCCAATGTTCTTGCATACACATCACACTGCCTGCAAATGCTATGCTCTCATGGAATATTCCTTCCTTCATCCCCTGTCAGCTGCTCTTTCCTGTGTCCCCAGAGCACTTCTTTCATAGCTAGGCTGCAGTGCTAAGCACACTGTGCTACTTCTTAGCTCTCGGGATGTTTACCTTCTGCAAGGCACTTGAACTTCTGTAAGCAGAAACAATGTCTTAATTTTGGACCTATAGTATCCTATATAATGCCTGGCTCTCAAGTTAGCACTCAATAATTTTATTTATTTATATCCATTCATTACTTCTTTCATTCACTAGAAGTAAAGAGCCAAATAATAATAAATATCAGAGACCTGCGTTTTGGTTTGTACTCAACAGTTTTTATAAAGCAGAGACAAAATCCTATTACTTCTTATTCAAAATAACTGACCTGAATAAAACAGCCTTTTCCTCAGAGACTCTGATTAGGAATTATAAACATTTTTTTTTACATTCACATCTATTTCATATTCTTTTGCTTATACCTAAAATGGGGGCTTTCCCCAAACTGCTCAAACAAGTGGACCACCACTCTCAGCTGCAATTTCAACAACTGTGTCTCACAGTCCCTCACTGACAACAGCACTGAGTTTAGAAGGAAGTCTTTTCCAATTCCTAAAACATAAGCCTGACTCTAGAGTGTACACAGATATCAAAGTGAGAGAGTGTTATCTCTTTGTAACATTAAAATGTTTGCAAACTCCACTAAATTATCATCAGTAGCAAATGATTTGGGAAACTGTAACCATATCAGGGTTCAGAGATAATGCTCTCTAGGAAAAAAATTTAACTGTGATCATACCAATTTATTCTTTAAAAAGATCAGCTGGAAACATTTTAAGCAGCTCTTTAAGAACCAACAGAGGTGGATGTGGTGGCTTGAGCCTTTAACTCCAACACATTAACAGGGGAAGGCTGACCTCTGTAAATTACATTTAAGGTCAGGGCTACTTAGATAGACCCTGACTCAGAAAAAAATAAAGAAGCTTAATAATGAGATTAACACTTTAAAAGTTTGAGTTTTCTAAAAGAAAGTAGCTGGACTGGAGAGATGGCTCAGAGGTTAAGAGACAGGCTGATCTTCCAGATGTCCTGAGTTCAATTCCCAGCAACCATATGATGGCTCACAACCATGTATAATGAGATCCTGTGCTCTCTTCTGGAGTGCAGTCATACATTCAGATAGAACACTGTATACATAATAAATCAATCAATCTTAAAAAAAAGTTAACGAAGGTTGACACCTATAGAATTTCATTAACATTAGCTGTGATTTTATGCTTCTGGGAACTGTTCAATAAAATAATTCCTAGCAGAAATTAGCACTACAGCCACAAATAATGCTTACAATATAGTTAGCACTGAAACCATTTCCACTAGAAACTCAGTCATTTCTAGAAGTAGATTTAAAAAGAAAACTTCAAACTCACTTGTAAAGTACAATTTTCATTTCTTTCAAGAAATTTCACAAATCTCTGTACAACTCCTGGTTTCTGTATAACTTGATCTATTGGTGGATTGGGTTCTAAGATTTAAAAAAGAAAGGATGTTAGATAGACACAGAAAAACAATGAACTGATCCCCATTTCACACAATATGCATCTCAGCTCCTTTTCCTTGAGTAGTGAAAAAACAGCCTGAACAAGCCGGGGAGTGGTGGTGCACACCTTTAATCTCAGCACTCAGGAGGAAGAGGCAGGCAGATCTCTGTGAGTTTGAGGCCAGCATGGTCTACAAGAGCTAGTTCCAGGACAGGCTCCAAAACTACAGAGAAACCCTGTCTCGAAAAACAAAACAAAAAAACAGTCTGACCAAAGAACATTAGAGGAGTAGTTGCGGTCCATCACAGCAGAGAAGTCACAGCAGCAGGAATTTGAAGCAACTGGTTATACTGCATCCAGGGAGCCACAAGCCTCCTCTACTCAGCCACCTCTCCATTTACACAGTCAGTGCACAGCTGCAGCCAGAGAGCGGTGGACAGGTCTCCCCATCTCAGTTAAGGAAATCAAGATCAGAGGCTAGTCTCCCAGGTGATTCTAGACTTTTAACAAATTGGAAAGTAATACAACTGTCACGGATTGCATAGGTTTCAATAACCTAAGTGTAGACTCTTAGCTGGATGTAACTGCAGATAAATGTTCTCATTACTGCAGTACTTTTGCAAAGCAAACTCTACTTTTTCATTAACTGCAATAATAGGTAACTAAAATATATTTCGCAATATGAAATATATTTAAGAGATCATCCTTATAAAATGGGAGAATCTGGGTCTAATATTCCTAACCCCAACGAGAAAGTCCTTACAGCACTATCCTCGATTTCCTCACTAGTAATAATCATTCACTTACCTGTCTGTCAGACAAGATTTTGTCTAGATATTATTATTTATAGAAATACTACTAAACTATCTAAAAACCATAATTTTTTCATGAAATGCAGACTTCTGAAAATCATAAATCCTCATGCAATTCAAATAAAATTCAAACAAATGTATTTCAAGTACTGACCAACTAAATACAAGGAAATCTTTCCTCTACCTCTGCCTCAATAAACAGTGCTGTCAGTGGCTCAGTAGCTTCTGGGGTGGTGTTCCTGTACGTCTTCTATTCTCTTCTAGAAATGGACCTCTTTTGTTAAATTCACTAGTCATTCACTATTACCACGTACAAAACTCCAGAAACTCCCTAAATTCTTTTCTCCTTTGTCCCACACCACACTTTAGTTTGTCTATGCGGTTGCTTTTGTAAGTTTTCTTAAGGGAAGCATAGCCAGGCCACATACCCCTATCATGCTCAACCTGACCGGTACTAAAACAGCTGTTCATCAAGTCCCACGAGAGAACTCTTGGTCAGTCGAAATTTTATCTTAATGAACAAAATTATGTTCATTAATTTTTTTCTCTGTGTTGTAAATGAAAGTCCAGATTTTGAAATTCTCTTCCTTTCCCCTATCTTACAAAACATTAGCAGACATTTCCACCCCTTCACCCTCTATCTTTGAAAGTGTCAGAATTTTAGGACAAGAGTTACCAGCTTCACCTTCTTTTTTTTTCTTTTTCTGATGGAAAACTCTTAACTTTCCTTTTTTAAAATTTAAAGAACAGAAATTTGTGTTGTTGTCTTTGAGGAAAGAGGTGATAAAATGGAAGATGAAAACAGGATGTGTGGTTAGAAGGCAGTGAGAAATGGACACTGGACCATCAGTATCTACAAGTAAACACAGATGCAGACCTATCACTTACATAAGAACACAAATGCAGTCTCTTCGCCCAAAGTTCAAAGCAACACTTTTTATCATTCCATCTAAAAGAAGCCAATTAAAGTGCACTAGAATTGTCAGCTAATTTAACATAGTTATTGATATTACATAACAAAGTAAAAGTCTATATGAGCTTATAAAGGTGATGAGCTATCATAAATAAAATTCACAGGCATTGTGGCAATTTAAATATAAGCAAAATAGGAAAATATATGCTCAAGCAGTGAAAACAAAGAATAATATAGAACAGAAAAGCTTTGGGGAAGTTTCTGCAAAAAATGAAATTGAAGAAGTGTAACCCGTGATTTGCATTACAAGAGTGGTCACGATGGAGAAGCAGATTAAGGGATTTTAACAAAGGTTTATCATCTGATTTAAATCAGAGCTGGGTTTAATGGTAGGCTACGTAGTAGCCAGTGGCATACTTAAATCTGCTTTGTGGCAACTGTTAGAATACTACTTAAAGATGAAGAACTACAAGTCGCCTGCTGTTTCTGCTAACAGTTCTATTTACAGCTGCTTTCCCAGGTTTTCTATATGATAGGTTAAATAAAAATATAGTAAATCCAAAGTTCTCCTATCCCTGATACACTTGGCAGAAATCCATGTCAATCAGCAAAGGAGAGCATTTATAACCCCTGTTTTATGTCTAACATAGGCTTAAAAATACAACTATTAAGAAGAAACAGTGAAAAATAATTGACATATAAAGCTTAAGAGAAACATGACAGTTTGAAATTACAGAAAACAGTTGTCTTACTAAAACAGTCTCACCTCAGAGAATGATGATACAGATAACAGAAAGATTAAAATCTTTCAAACTACATTCTTACTTTAAAGAATCAAAATAAATTCAATAATAATAAAGATGTGGTAGAAAAATAATTGAGAACAACTTCAAAATTCTCAAACAAAATCTACAGAAATCCTATCAGTTGTACACTATGCAGGTGTCAAAAACAAATCTTGAAAAAGAATATAATAAAAAATTTTAATCAGGTAACATAAATATCAACTGCAAAAATATTCTAAAATGCAGAGATAAAAAGAAATCATTCTTGATTGTATAAATATTTCTGAACTACTGAAGATGAAGGATGTTTTTATGAAAGCTAAACGTAGTCATTCAAAAATAAAAATATTTGATAATTTTCCCTTACTAAAGTTTTTGCACTCATTTATGTGGTGTGTGCAGACATGTTCACAAATGACTGTATGCCACTGTTCAAGTGCAGAGGACAGGCGGCAGCTTTTGGAAGGAGTCAGTTCTCTCCTTCAGGCATATAGGCTCTAGGGATCAAGCTCAGGTCACAGAGTTTGGTCGCAATTGCCCTTATCCACTGAGCATTCTGCCGGCCCTATTTTATAACTATTTATAATACACTCACTCTTAAAAAATAAGAGAGCAAAGACAAAAGACTTAGATTACGCTGACCAAACCACAAGATTGCATTCATTCCTCACCTTAGCAAATTTTATCTTTCTTAGGAAATTAAGGTGGGGTGATTCAGCATTATCTGCAAAATCTTAACATCTTAAAAATTCCTTACAATTCAATCACCAATTCTATAAATTCTACATATGAAACAATACTAATACTAACTGGGTAAGTAGTTTGACCATATGAATTACAAACGGTTAGTAAATAATGAACGAGTTGGGTACGGTGTTGCATAACTGAACTTCCAGCACTTGTGAAGGTGAGGCAGGAAGATGGAGAGTTTGGGGCCAGTCTTAGCTACAAGATAAACCTTGTCTCCTCCAAGTCAAAACTGAACAAATGAAAAATATGTCTAAAAAGTATTTCTATATAGAATTATAGCCTTATTTACTGGTAACAATTATTTTTGATTTGCTTCTTTAGATTCTTTTGTAATTTTTTCTACAATGTGTTTATTCTAATAATATATTTTGAAAAAGATGATACTTTAAAACACTTTTTTTAAAGACAGGATCTCTATGCAGCTCTGGATGGCATGGAATTCATTATGTAGACCAGGCTGGCTTCCAACTCACAGAGATCTGCCTACCTCTGCCTCCCAAATGCTGGGACTAAAGGTAAACACAACCAAGCTGGGTGCTAAGGCAAGTGAGCCTACCTGTATGAATTGGAGGCTAGCTTGACTTATCTAGTGACATCTTGGTTACCAAGATTAGGTAGACAGACCCTCTCTCAAAGGTAAAAAAACAAAATGAAAAAAGGTGTATAAAACCATATCAGGCTAAACTATAAAGAGAAATTAAGACCTGTCTCTGGAAAAAAAAAAGGAAAAAAATAAGTGTCCCAAAATTTTAAAAAATATAAATCTCTGCCTTAAATTGTGCAACATCAAATAGCCACTGCAATAACTCTTGCCTTTAGAGAGCAGTTTCCTGAATTTCTGTGTTGCTGCCAGCTGCTGTTCAGCATCGCTAGAGAAGACCATCCGAATCATATCTGCAGTGACGACATCTTCCTAAAACACAGAAATAAAATCATCAGGCAAATGATTTTGCATGAATATTATTTATATTATTTGATGCATATACTGTCTCAGAAATTTTATGAGGCATAATACAAACCAAAACACAATTTCGTAAAGTATACCTCTGGAATGGGTACAGTGGAACTGATATCTGGGTCCTGGATAGGACTCTCTAGCATACAGTCTTCATTTTTGGGCAAAGAGACATTTCTGCGTTTGAACAACTGCAACAAAGAAAAATTATTTTATATACTAAGTTTTCCAAAACATTCAACAGTCACAGGATTCATATGAGTAAACAAAATGATTTTTATATTTCAAAATATTAAACATTTACATTTTATAGGGCTTGAAAAAGCATGCATTTCTTTATTTGATGACTAACTATAGAAGAATTTTTCTAAGAAAATCTTTACTATGGACTGGAGAGATGGTTAAGTGCTTAAAAGTGCATACAGCTCTAGCAGAGGACCAGAGTCCCAGTACCAAGGTTAAATTCCAAGTTCCCAAGTTTGACAACTTATAACCATCTGTACCTCCAGTTCTGGGGCATCTGATACCTCTGGTTTCTATGGCCAACTGCTCTCAGTGCACATATCTTCCCTCAAACATACACACATAATAAATAAAAACAAATCTTTAAAAAGAGAACTCTTGATTTAAAAAGTAAATCACACAGTATAAATATCATGCTACCGAGTCAATATAGCCAACTAACAAGCAATAGGAAGCTGGGCATGGTGGTGCATGCCTATAATCCTAGCACCTGAGTTAGAAGCAGGAGGCTCTAGAATTCAAGGGCATCATCAGCTACAAGAAAATCTGAGGACAGCCTGGGTTATGTGAGACCCTGTCTAAATAAAATAAAACAAGCAATAGGAAAAAAGTCTTAGGAAAATCAGTCTTATACTTTTTAGTTCCATTAATAATAAAAATAGAAAGATAAAAAACAACAAAAAAACCTCCTTGTACTTCAATGACTAAATAAATACAGCTCTTCCAAAGTCTGTACACACATTTTTTTTAGTCAACAGTTTTTTTTTGTTTGTCTGTTTGTTTCTTTGATGTAAGTTCTGCAAGATACTACAGACAGGAGCTGAAAAACCACAATTACTACATTTCTAAGCAGGCCTTCTTGGACTTTTGGGAATAGTCCTTTACATACACTATTTTTAGCTTGTTTTTGTTATTTGTTATTGTAAGAACTACTTTATAAATATTTCCAAGTCTATATTGGAATGAAAAATGTTAAGAAGTATTCATAAGTAGCATATGCAAAGTATAGAAGCTATGAAATATAGAAATATATTAGCAAATACAGAAATCATTAAATGAAAACACACAAAGATGACTTTAATTATCTTAAAACTTATGAAATCCACAATGCATATCATGTGTTTCCTGGGGACAAAGTCTATGCTGAAAACTGGAGGTTAGCTAAATGACTCAAGGGTAAGCATTTTTAGCATTAGGAAAAAGTATGGTAACAAAATCTTTATTAACAGAAGAGAAAAATCACCCTAGTCAGTAACTACCTTAGTATAAGATTCTAATCAATGAATTTACAAATATTATTCTAGGGACTTAATTAAGAAACAGAGTTAGCAAATCAATTTTCTCAAACACTTAGCATTTAAAATTTTCTAAAATACAGCAATGATAATTAAACTTGCAAACCTCCACAGGAGGTACTGACTAGAATGGATGAATTTGTTGTATCTAAGAACACCCACCTGTTCTTCCCTTTTTTGTTTTCGAAGTTGTATTCCTTCTTCTTCTCTCCGCCTTCGCATCTCTTGAGGATTTAAGGCTTTGTTCTTATAACTTTTCATTCTGTAGTTATCCCTCCCTGGACTAGCCATGGAACCTTAGAGGAAGAAAACACAGGGATAACTCTCAAAACAATGTAAGAGGCTTAATGTAGGCAACTAAATTTAAGCTCACTGATTCATTTGACCAAAAATACTGTCTCTCACACCTCTATCATATTAGAGAAAAATGACCAAATAGTTCAGAATTTATTTCTTAGTCTTAGCACATTTCCTGATGCCTTAAGGACAATTTGAGATCCTAGCAACTTACTTCAAAAGAGGTTTAGTTAGCTCACAGACCTGGAGGCCAGGAAGGTGCCAGCAGATGCCCCACTTGTGATGGAGCCTCATGCTAATTCATACACAGCAGAGAAGCAGAAAGGCAAAGTCAATGGGCATTTGTAGATGAGATAAGGTAACAAAGCTGCTGGTCCAAAGGGTTTCTACACTGGCAATGAAATTAGGATACAAATTTTGGCTGGAACAAATCACATCTAAGCCTTAGCAATATTAAACAAGTAACAAATTTGGGTCTAAAAATACTCATCGCCCTTATTATACTGATACATGATATTTTATGCCTATGTTATAACCTACTCTGGGTTCACACATGAAGACTAAACAGTGGTCTACAGCAGTATTTCAACTGTTAAGTTAAATGTGACAGATACTTAGTGATCACTTAATACCCTACTGTGATAAGTCCGAAGAACATACCCAGGCCTGACCAGAAGCTACTGTTAACCAGTTGCCAGGCAGTGGTGGCGCATGCATTTGGGAGGCAGAGGCAGGTGGATCTCTTGAGTTCCAGAACAGGCTGGTCTACATAGTGAGTTCCAGGATGGCCAGGGTTACACAAAAAAACCCTGCCTCAAAACACAAACAAAGAGAGACAGAGACAGAGAGAAAGGGGGGGGGGTTTCATCTATCTGACCTCTCTGATGTAAGATGCTAATTGGTTTGCAGATGTATAAGCAATAAAGAACACTAAAATATATGCATTAAATTCTGTGAGAGGACAGTAAGAAACAGCAATTAACTGTCCCTTAGGAAGCTCAGAAAGGCTTCAGTGTTGCTCTGTGAAAAAGGAGGGAAAGGGGGAAAAAAAGAACAAGCATTTCAAACAGAAAGAATATATGAAGATATGGCAAAAAATTAGAAGCCTAGCACACACATAGAACAGTAAGAAATAAAGTGTGCCTCAACAAAGGACTCAAGCAGAAAGAGACAGCGATGAAGCTATAAACATGAAACAAATATGGTTGCTGCAATCCAGCTGAGAAGTTCAAACTTGATCCTATGAAGCAGAACTAAAATAAAGGAAACAAGTGAAATCTCAATGAGTGTGCTGCTGACGTTACTGCAGTCATTGTAATAGATGAATCCTGACTTTAGGAGACTGTGTTGAGCTACAGATGGTTGGAAATACAGTTTGAAACACAGAACAAGGGTCCTGACTTGATTATCCAATGTCATGGAGAGCCACAAAAACAAAGGGGACAGGAAAACTCTTCATGGTATTTACATTTCAGTGGGGTGGGGGGAGGCAAGACAAAAGAAAACCAAGAGAATTGGGACAAGGAAGAAAGTAAGAGAAAATACGGGAGTGGGGAGAGTGCAAGGAACAGGAGCCAGAGAAGTATTTGAGTAGCAGTGACATTAATAACACACTCAACATATTTTACTCTTCTGTTGACTCATCACGCAAACAAACTAAGTACCAAACAAGGCATCAGATTTGATAACCAGAGGTCATTGGTAAAAAGAGTAAAGCAAAGCTCACTACTAAAGGAGTTCAAATTAAAACACAATGGGCTGAGGACTCAAGAATGGGAAAAAGGTTGTGGATTGGAAGTAGAGGCCAGAGGTAAACCTCACGCTCAGAATATCTGAGATATCTACAGCTGGTCAAATCCAGTTTTCACATATGTTTCAGCAATTCATATATACCTATGTGGTGGTTTAACTGAGATTAGGCATCATAGGCTCATGTTTGAATACCTGTCCCCAGCTGGTAGATCTAATTGGGAAGAATTCGGAGAAGGGGCAGGCTTTGAGTTTCAAAAGACTTGGGCCATTCCAGTGTCTCTTTCCCTGCCTTGTGGGGTCCCAAGATGTGAGTGGTCAGTTACTGCTCCAGTAGCACGCTGTTGGCCTGCTGCCATGCTCCCTGTCAGAATGGTCATAAACTCTATCCCTCTGAAACTGGAAGGCCCAAATAAACTCTTCCTTTTATTAATTGCCTTGGTCATGGTGTCTTATCACAGCAACAGAAAAAATAACTAAGTCAACCTACAAACAGAAACTAGAAACTGTTAAATTGAGGTTATATATAACAACGCATGCATTCTCCTCTCTTTTTATATATTACAAACCCTGAACTAGAGAGACAGTTCAGTGGTTAAGAGTAAGTATTGCTCTTACAGAGGACCCCAGTTTACTTGCAACAACCAAATCAAGGCAGTTCACAACTCCATATAACTTCAGCTCCATAGGAATCCAATGCTTCTAACACCTGCACTCACATACCCATTCCCATGTATTAATAATTTAAAATAATAAAAATAAAAGTTTAAAGAAAAAATGTATTTTTAAAACTCTAATTTCACTAACAGCTTAAGTAGCAAAACAAGAAAAAACTAGTTTCTGAAATAACATTTGTTACTGAAATACTACTCTATTTGTACAAATAAATCTTTTAAAATTTTCTTAACTACATATGTGGCATTTTCTAGACTGCTGGCATTTAAACACTTTGAACACACATTATATATATATTCCACATACATAAAAATATATATATTTCATCGTCAATATTCATTCATTTATCTATTTGTGGATGTGTATGCTCGCATGCGTCAACACCACCAGTCAACTTTAGGTTTCGATCCTCGGAGTCACCCACTTTTTCTGTTAAGACAAGGGCCTTGGGCTTGTTATTTAGGCTCAGCTGGCTCTCAGGGAGCTCCATGAATCCGCCTGTCTCAAATCCCTAGCAAAGGGACCACAAAAGTGATCCACAATCATTTTATTTTTAAAGACAGGATCTCTCTTTGTAAGCCTATAGAACTTGGTAAACAGACCTGACTGGTCTTGAACTCACAGAGGTGTGCCTAGCTCTGCCTCTCAAGGGCTGGGATTAAAGGTGTGCGCCACCAAGTGCCGCCTTGGGTTCTGAGGATTTGAGGATTAAAGGCCTTCTTACTTACCAAGCTACCTTCCCGAGCCTTCCCAATACTCTAACAGGCTTTTTGGACCACCAGCCCCAGATCATGACACAAGAGACGTATTAATGATGAATGTTCAGCCTTAGCTTAGGCTTGTTTCTAGCTAGCTTAAAAACAAAAACCAAAACAAACAAGTCAGCCTATTTCTATTAATCTATTGCTGCCCGGAGGCTCATTTACCTCGTGTGTACTGTCCATCCTGCTCTCCAGCTTCCTCCGTGTCCAGCTGGTTGGCCCCTGGTTCCCTTTTCTCTCAACCCACCAGACCCATCTAACCCTCCTCTGCCTAGATATTGGCCGTTTAGCTCTTTATTAGACCAATCAGGTGCCTTAGGCAGACAAGATAAAACAGCAACACATCTTTCCATAGCTAAACAAATATTCTATTCCACAACAAATATTTATCTTTATACATGTATTACCATAATAATTATTACCCCACTGTGAAAATTACAAAACTAGCCATTTTCTTCAAGGAATGAAAATAATTAAAACTGCAAACGAATAGAAGCTCTAATCTTTAGTCCTCACAATTGTTTGGGTCACTTTGGGCCCTTCTCCCCCACAACATTTTTGCATTCTAGATCCCTCTTAAATTATTAACAAACTTGTAATCCAAATTAAAGGTAGCTCCAAGAACACATTATGTTCTTTCTTTTTATTCAGTGATACTAACTTTCTGCATCTTTGCCTTCTTCACTGTGTTATCTCACCCAGAGAAATTTACTTAGCTGGAAAACAAGTTTTTTAAGGACTGGAATTCAAAGGCTTGAATTGAACAAAAATTATATGAAATATAAGAAATGCTATCCAGACATCTTAAAGTTGCCAAACCAAAATTTTTGTTGTTTGCTTGTTTTTTCATGCCTAAACTTATTTTTATCCCGGTTCTTACAAAAACCACACTGGCTGAAGTTAGGCACATAATGAATCTGAACTTCCAAGAGTCTTTTTTTTTTTTCTGGTATTTGTTAAAGCAATTTCTCAAGTCAGTAAAGCATCATTTTTCTGTGCTTGGACACCTCGCTAGAAAATGACAAGCCTGTACAGAGAGGGGAGTGACAACCCTGAGTCCTTACTACCAAACACACACTACGGTGTGAAGCAAAGTTTCCTGCCTCCCTTTAGCAACCCTGTTCCCTACAAAACAGCAGCCGTTACTGAGCACTGAAACTGAGAGGCAAGTCAAAAAGCCTCTTGTCTTTTTTTCCCCCTTATTCTCTGTGCAGAAAAAGCTCACGTGTAAATGTCATGGTTGACATCTCGCTACGCCCTCTCATAGCTTCCGAATCCCTACATCTATTACGCATTGCATTTTCATCCTCAAGCAGGGAAGCCAGCTGACAGACAGCAGCACGAACCCAGGGTTTGCTGACTGTGGGACAGAAGGACGCCTGCTCGGGTGCCGCACGGAGGGTCCCAGGGACGTCCTGTCCCTCCTACAGGCACAGTGACAGCCGCTGGACACGGATGACCAGGAGCCGCGAGCAGGGCTGGGCGGGCGGCGTGATCGCTGCCACGCCCCCAAGCTGCAGCCCTCCGGGAGCCTGCGAGCCCAGGGGCGCCCGCCCCGAACCCTTCCCGGGGACAGGGACATGCACACCAGCAGCAGCCCGAGGTCCCAGCCCCGCGCGAGCGCGGCCGACCTGCGTCACTCACACTTACACATTCACGCGGTCCCTCCCGAGCCCCGACTCGCAGTGTCCCGCGGTGACCACGGCTGCAGACAGCACGGGGTGGACGCTCCACCTCGACCGCGGCTCGCACCTGCGACCCGTTAACCAAACCAAGATGGCCGCCTCCGGCGCCCCTTCCTCAGACCCTAAGCCGGCTCCCAGAAGCCCTTGCTCTCGCGGCCAGGGCGGAGGGGGCGTGGCAGCGAGCGGCTGCAGAGGGGCGTGGCTGCTCAGCTGGTGGCTCTGAAGGACAGCACCCAGCAGCTTCCCCTGTCTTCAGCCTTACTTTGTAGATGAATGTCAGAATTATCACTAGTCTCCCTGCGCCTGCAAGGCTGAGCTCTCCTTTGTTCGTTCATTTATCTACCTCTCCATCCTAGAAAAATATATTGAGAGTGTTGTATACCGAAGAACCGGTTTATTATCGGGGATGTAGCACCCAAACAGGTTTTGTTTTGTTTTCTGGGTTTTTTTTGTTTGTTTGTTTGTTTTTGTTTTTGGAGACAGGGTTTCTATGTAGCTCTGTCCTGGAACTAGCTCTTGTAGAGCAGGCTGGCCTCGAACTCACAGAGATCCGCCTGTCTCTGCCTCCCGAGGGCTGGGATTAAAGGCATAGCACCACTACCGCCCGGCCCAAACAGGTTTTTTAAAAGCAGAACAAAAACTCAAGGCTCATGAAAGTCAGATGCAGCCTTTTGCCTCCTTCAGCTTTATAAACTTCTTACGATGTTTCTCTCTCTCTCTCTCTCTCTCTCTCTCTCTCTCTCTCTCTCTCTGTGTGTGTGTGTGTGTGTGTGTGTGTGTGTGTGTGTGTGTGTGTGTGTGTAGCGCTGGCCACCATGTAGCTCAGAAAGAATAGTCACCTACAAGTCTCCTGCTTCAGCCTCTAAAACCTGAAGGATTTCAATAAATGTCGTTTCCTATCAATGCAAGAATTAACTCCGGTGTTCAAGTCTCTTTGTGGGAGCCTAGGCAGTTTGGATACTCACCTTACTAGACCTGGATAGAGGTGGGTGGTCCTTGGACTTCCCACAGGGCAGGGAACCCTGATTGCTCTTTGGGCTGATTAGGGAGGGGGACTTGACTGGGGGAGGAGGAGGGAAATGGGAGGAGGTGGCGGGGAGGAGGCAGAAATCTTTAATAAATAATTAATAAATTAATAAATAAAAAAAATAAAATTGGAAAAAAAAAGAATTAACTCCGGATGAAGCACTCTACACTATAGCAAACTCACCCAAGCCCATAATCCACCCTGAAGAGCTGCAAGCAGTAGTGGAGGCAGCAGACTAAGGCCCATGGGGAACGCTAAGCTCTGACTATGCAAGACAAACAGCATGATTCCAGTCACAGAGAAGTTTTCAATGTATTAGAGTAGCTAAATGTCTGGTTACTGAAATATAAAGATATAAAAACTGATTCTTTGTCCATGTGTGTAACTGAAAAGGGAAACCTAACAAAAGGAACCTGGACAAGACTTTCCAAATACTAACACTGTAAGCAGCCTGACTGGCCAAGAATGAACATATTCTAAAAACACACTTAGATTTTTTTTTTGCCCACCAGACTATCAGAAGTATAATTCTATGAAATTAGAATTTCTCCAGCAATCTCCTGTTAGACAAAGGAATGGCTGAAGCCCATGGGGTAGCCAGGGAGAAACCTGTATCTTGAAGAAAGATTCACAACTTGTCAGATCATCTTGAAGGACAGAATCGGAGAAGAGACAGTACTAGACAAAGGGACATGCCATGACTAGACTGCAGAGTCATAAGTACTGCGTGCCTTGTCTTTAAATGTCTGTAGATGGATGGCCAATAGCTAGGCAGGATTTCCAGGCACAGAGGATGCTGGGAAGAAGAAGAGGGAGACATCAAGGGATGCAGAGCAAGCAGGATGGGCACCATGGAGATGAGGTGATAAAGTCATCAGGCAGAAAGTAAATTAGTAGAAATGAGTTAGTTTAGCCAGGCAGTGGTGGCACACGCCGTTAATCTAAGCACTCGGGAGACAGAGGCAGGCAGATCTCTGTGAGTTCAAGGCCAGCCTGGTCTAAAAGAGCTAGTTTGAGGTCAGGCTCCAAAGCTACAGAGAAACCCTGTCTTAAAAAAACAAAAACAAAAAACAAAAATGAGTTAGTTTAAGTTATAAGCGCTGGTTAGAAACAAGCCTAAGCTATCAGCCAACCAAGTTTTCATGATTAGTAAGAAGTCTCCTCCATGTTGTTTTTTAGTGAGTTGGTAGCCCAAATAAAAATCCATCTACAGAATAATGCAGTTCTAATTACATATTGATCTTCTCATCAAGAGTCTTCCAGTTCCTAACTGACGTTGTCATTATGGTGTTGGCTATCTTGTTGGACTAATAATATATATATATATATATATATATATATATATATATATATATTTGAATCAGGGTGTATTAATCCCAAAGATTTGAGGAGAAAGACCACTAATCTGAATCATCACTGTCAGGTTAATTAAAGCAATGTCAGAGGAGGGCCCGCTTGTTTGTCCCAGCCACCCAGCTAGCTTAGCCCCAAATAACCACATAGAAACTGTATTAATTAAATTATTGCTTGGCCCATTAGGTCTAGTTTCTTATTGGCTAACTCTTATATTAATTTAACCCATTTCTAGTAGTCTGTGATCACCATATGGCAGTGGCTTACCTGGTAAAATTCCCAGCGTCTGTCTCCAACGGATCCATGGCGTCTCTCTGACTCTGCCCTTCTTTCTCCCAGCATTCAGTTGTCTCCCAGCCTACATAAGTTCTACCCTATAAACAGGCCAAAACAATTTCTTTATTAAACAATGAAAACAACACATAGCCAGAAGGACCTCCTACACCATTTCCCTTTTTCTGTTTAAACAAAAAGAAGGCTTCAACTTTAACATAGCAAAACTACATATAACAAACCAGGTATCAAGAAAGAACTACAGTTAAACTATTTATACCTACTTTATCTTTTATCATAACTAAGGAAAACTATAACTATAAATTCTTCAACTCCATCAAAGACTCCAGAAGGATATAATATGTAAACAGAAAGTGCATTATAAACAACTTCCAAAACTCTAGAATTGACAGAGACATCTTGCTACCTGGACAGTCATCCAAAGTTTTTCTGTACCACTGGGGTATCCATCTTCACCTTATAGGCCCATAGTATCCAGCAGATTTTTCCATGAAGCAGGAAGTTTCAAAGATTGTTCCACCTATATGGGTAGTTTGTCAGTCACTTTCTTCTGTGTCCTGTAAGATGTCTAGCAGACTCTTTCATGAAGCAGAAACCCCAAAGGATCATCTCACCTTTAGGCAAGTTCAGAGTCATTTCTCTGTGGGTCCCACATGTCCAGTTCACCCGAAAGGGGAAGATAAGAGTTGTTATAGGGGAGTTTCAAATGGGGGACTGGCATGCAAATAGGCAGGGTTATAAAGTAGAATATAACCAGGTGGTCATAATAAGGTATTAATAATAACAGGTCGCTGTAATAACCCTCTGAAACAAAGGTAAAGTTGCAAGATGGTCATAACAACTTTTCAAACAAAGGCATGGTTGCTGTTTCCTGAAACAGGCAGGCAGTACTAAACCATTTATAGTTAAAGTTACAGGTGAGGTAGAGTCCAATAACTTTTCAAACAAAGGTATGGTTGCTGTTTCCTGGAACAGGCAGTACAGAACCGTTTATAGTTAAAGTTACAGGTGAGGTAGAATACAATTCTTGAAAAATAAAAGTTTAATCATGAACAAGAACGAACCTAGCTTGTCTTGTCAATTCCAGCAAATGAGAGTAAAGACCATTTCCCAAATTTTTTGGTCAAATTATGCAAGATTTATTTTCTGTCAGAACGACAAGACTATTTCCTTAAAGTAGGTCTGAGGAAATAGCACTGGACACAGGAAAAGGTTTATATAGCCCCAAACCTGCAAGTTTTTTTTTTAAGGTTGGGGGACTTCCAAAGGAATTTTGGTTATGTATAATTTTGACAGAACATGTTATTAGGTTGGAAGTTAGGGTATAGGGTGTGGAATGAGTCATTCCAGAAAATAAGTCAAGGCATGGTCAAACACAAGTTTTACAGAAAACAGGAATGGACTTATTTTGACCTTGTAACAAAATGGCTTCTAATGTTAAGATGTAAAAGGCTGATCCATCAGTCTTTACTATCAGATGACTTTCAACCCTAAGATGGAAGCAGTCTGGTTCATCAGAGGTTCTCATTCTGTGGTCTTGTCTGAATTGAAAATTGCTATATTTTCAACTCGCAGACATCCATCTACCTCAGCCTCCTGATTGCTGAGATTACAGGTGTGCATTACCTCTTCTGACCTCAAAACAATATTTTTTAAAGTTAGTTCTGAAGAAATATAGTATAAGAATAAAAGAAGAAATGTTAAAACCACAATATCCACTAAGAGACAAGAAAAAATATTTAATTCTCAAATTAAAAGTATAAGTACCTCTTGGGATTAGAAACTACTATTATAAATATTATTTATATATACAGTATTCTGCTTGTATATACGCCTGCACGACAGGAGAGGGCACCAGATCTCCTTCTAGATGATTCTGAGCCACCCTGTAATTGCTTGAAATTGAACTCAGGACCTCTGGAAGATTGGTCAGTGGTCTTAATCTCTGAGCCATCTCCCCAGCATGGCCCCCAATACTATCACAAGTTTTAAGTGTTTCTATCAATTGGAATTTAGAGGATAAAATGGGAAGTTTCTCAGAAAATAGAACAGAAGAAAGAAGATATAGACGATAAAAAATGCAATTTTTTTAAAAAGTACAAAATTAGATAGCAAATTGAGTTCGCCTAACTAACAAGAGCTGCACAAAGGAGTAAAAGGCAAACAGAGAAAATTAATTTTGAGGGAAATAAAGTAGGAGATCATTTTGCCAAAACACCACCTCTCATTTTTTTTTTTTTTTAAAGCAGGGGTAAAGAAAGAAGCAAAAGAAGGAGAGTGGAAAGCGTAGAATTCAACACTAATCTCCAACTAAATGAGGCAGAACAGAAATAAATGTGAGGAGGAATTGAGTTTAGGGTTTTAAGACTGAGGATCACAGCTTATGCCCCAACAACTAGATCTGGCCTCTTATCCTCAATAAATTGATTAAAAGAGACAAGTAAATAGTGAAAAGCAGAAAAGGGCGATTTATTCCATGTGGTCTCATTGGGAAAGGAGACAGGCGATCCAACGACCTTTCAAGTTCCTCTCTGGGGTCTTGGCTTGAGGTAGTATTTAAGGACAAGACATACAATACCCATGACTCAGCAGTCCAGTCATGGCATGTTCCTTTGTCCACGACTGTCTCAGCTCCAAGTCTGTCCTGCAAGGTGATCAGACAACTTGTGAATCTTGCCTGGTCACAGAAGATGGCCTGCCACCTTCTTTATAAACCAAACCTGTCCTGGAGGAAAAAATGAGTCGCTGGGGAAGCTGGTGATGGGGGAAATCTGGAGTGGAGTTTTAGCTACAATGTGTTTAGACATTTCACAACGTTTTCTTTTATTCAGTCCTTCAAATTCTTTCCCAGAAGTTTTCCGTTTTCTGAATATTTTTTATTCCTCTAGGGAGTTGACTTGTTGTTGTTGTTGATCTCTCAGCTAATTGGTGATTACTCAACTCTGCTCATTTTCTGACTTTCAATGTCCTGTAAGAATACCATTTGCTTTTATAATCCCTCCTTGACTCCCTTGAGTAGATTCAGAGAAGCAAGAAATACATTTTGCTTCATGAACCACATTTACCCCATCATTTAAAAATATTATACTTATCAGATTACGACCCCCCACACACACACATTTAAATACGTTAGAGTTTCCTCACAGCTCCTAAGTGAGCTGATCCTGCAGCTCTAAGCTGACTTTGTAATCCAGTGGTTCTCAACCTTCCTAATGCTGAGACCCCGACTCTTTAATACGGTTCTTAATATCATGGAGACCCCCAACCATAACATTATTTTAGTTGCTACTTTATAACTCTAATTTTGCTACTGTTATGAATCGTTATGTTAATAATTGTGTTTTCCAACGGTCATAGGCCACACCGTGAAAGGGTCCTTTGACCCCCGCCCCCACCCCATGAATTGAGACCTACAAGTTGAGAATCACTGTTGTAATCACTCTTCGCCTAGCTTTGGCACATTATGGTTTAGTAAGGAAAAGTTCCTCAGTCTTAGGCTTCTTTCTTGTTAGTTTAACTTAGTTCATCAGAATGTCCACCTCGTTAAACCGAACTTACCCTAACATCAGTAACTCTGTAAGTCGACTTTCTAACATTAAAAGTAATACTGTCGTCCTAAAAGGAGACTTTCTTACATCTTACACTTATCTTTATGAGTGTGATGTTAAGTTGGGAGTGTCACCCTGGCTTCCATCCTAGCCCCCTGGCCCGGGAGTTGCGTTGGTCTGGACTACAAATCCCAGCATGCCAGGTCCTGACCCCTCCTCGGGGGAGGGTCAGGACCACTCCCACAGGGTATTTAAGTGGACGTCCAGCGGAGGAACACGGCTTTGCTTGTGCTCCACTGTTTAATGTCTCCCATGTCATGTTCTCGGCACCCGAGAGTGCTGTATTGAATAAAACATGGGCAGTTTGATTCGTTTTTATTCGACCTGATTGGATTTCTGTGCGAGGGCCAACGGCTTAGCTCATTTCCTAACAATGAGAAGACTCTCTGACAACATTTGTACCTCTGCAATTCGGTTTTATTTTCTTTGTAACATTTATGGTATTCATTTCATTTCTTTTACTTGTCTCTGCCTCACCAGAATGTCCTGTGTCTTGTGTATTTTAGTTCGCAAGCTGCCTCCAAGTACAAAGAACACTTCTAGTGGGAACACTGGGGAGATAGTAACTGCAGGGGACAGGCAACTTTGGAACCTGACGAAGGAACCTGCTTTAACCTGCAGAGTATAATTTAGAGCTTGACACTAGGCAGTGTAAATAGAAACACGTGTTTGCCTTAACATCTCTCTCTCTCTCTCTCTCTCTCTCACACACACACACACACACACACACACACACACACTCACAGATGGTTTTCAAAGATCTCAGAACCTAGTTTTTCTTTTAGCAAATCTAACGTGGAAACTGCGGCGGGAGAGTGGGAGGGACCGGGGATGCTCTAGCAAACGCTGCTGGAAAACTCACCCCAGGTCCCAGAATGCATCACACTCCGCCGCATCTGGAGAGGGGCATGCTGGGATCTCTCCTCCGGCGGTGAGGAAGGGCTGTAGTGGCTGCGGTACTGCGGAGGGCTCTCGGAGGCCAGAGCTCTCTTTCGGTTCGCTGTGGGGCACAGTCTCGGGTGGCCTGACCCACGGCGCTCGGGCGGGCTGTGCGGGGAGTGGCGCCGGACGCTGGCGGCTCCCGCGGTGGGGAGGGGCGGCGGCGCAGCCGCAGACCCCGTCTCCTGGCCGTCTCTGGGTAGCCGCAGGGCCGGTGCCTGGAGCCGGGTCGGACGTTAGCCCGGTGGGACGTTGGCGCCGAACTCCGTCAGATTCGGGCCTTGCGGCCTTCGCCACCGCGCACCCAGGCTCCCCTTGGCCTGTCTCACTTCCACTGTATCCTTTATCTGAAACGAAACTGAGTGTCCAGAGAACTAACTTCCTTCTAGAATCAGAAACTTACTTTCCTTGTCTGAAAAAGGAGAAAATGTAGAGACATTTTGCAAAGCTGAGTTTACATGAAGGGGATAATTGCCCTCGGTTTTTATTTTTAGGTGGGTTAGGCAGGTGGTGGTGTGATTGCTTGAAAAGGGTTGTTTTTGTTTGTTCTTTTTTTTTTTTTAAATCAGCTTCCTATAAGTAATCAGCTTGCTATTAGCCCATCAAATCTAAGGTCTCTGAACTCGTTTGATACTGAACTTCAGAGGAAGGAGCTGTTAGCTAATGTAACGAAACCAGCGTCTATAACCCAGTTTTCTGGGCTTCCTGGATTCCAGGAGTGAATGCTGTTTTCCTACAGCCTCTCAGCTTTTACCTTTGGGCTCTGCAGTGTGTGTTCATTTTCTGGCTAGAGTGACCTGTCTGATCCAGGGTTTCCATGTATGTAAAAACAATTCAGTTTGACATTTGTAAAGCCCGGAAGTGTTAATACTAAGGTACATTTACCCTTCTCATTAATACATGCAAGTAAATATACACGTAGACTGCACTTTTCCTTTAACCTTATCTTGCATGAACAACTAATTAAATATACTTTTTTTCTATCTCTTGAATCAAACACTTTGAATTTTTGTGTGATGAAGTCTCACTAGGCAGCTCTGACTGGTTTGAAACTGTAGACCAGGCTCGCCTCCAATTCATGGCGATCAACCTGCCTCTGCCTTAGGAGTGCTGAGATGGAAGACATCACCATGCCTTAGTGAAATGTTTGATTCATAAATTTATTATTTTTATTTTATTATTACCTTTGATATGTTGAAATTCAGGCACACGTTGAATATCCTTTATCTAAAATATTTAAAAATACAGTGCAAAACACAAAATTTCTGTATGTGTCATGTACCTCTTGTATTTTCATGTATACTTATACATGTATATTTATATTTTCAGTGTGCCTGTTTTTGACTGTCATCCATCCCATGAGATCAGGCATAGATCCACTATGGAATCATGTCATAGCTCAGAAGTTTTGCATTTTGGAACATTTGGACTTTGGATTTTTGGAGAAGAGATGCTTAACCTGTAGTGAGGTTTTGATTGAGGCTTAGAATTAAGTATATGAATTTAAGGAATGATAGGTATACTGAATATTTTTTGCCAAAGCTAATACACCTCTAAATACTCCAAGAGTGACCAAGTAATATTATGAAATGTCCTTTTTCTTCAACTCTTGCTTTCAGAATTGTGATTTTGCTTCATTTCTAGGCACATGTCCCCACCATGCTTTCCTGTGACATCTGTGGTGAGACAGTAGCCACAGAACTAGATATGAAGGCTCATCTAATTGTTCACATGGAAAACGAAGTTACATGTCCATTTTGCAAGTTGTCAGGTGTAAATTATGATGAAATGTGTTTTCATATTGAAACTGCTCATTTTGAGCAGAATACACCAGAAAGAAACTTTGGGAAACTAAATGCAATGCAGTATGAAAATCCAGACAGCCAGAATACCACCCTACAGAGGACAATGGAAGTTCATTCAAGTATTCATTCAGCTTGTGCATCTAATTTTCCAAAAAATTCAGCCCAAAGCGTTCCTAAAGATGAGACTTTAAAACATGAAGCTTTTCATACAGAGAGGGTAACGGAATCTAGACAGTACCTGAGAAGCCCAGAAAAGCAGTCTGGATTGTCTCCAGTGCCAGGATCAATTTACGAGACAACTTACAGTCCTCCTGACTGTCCCTTTTGTGGAAAAATAGAGGGGTGTAGTCAAGATATGGAGACGCACGTGAAAACAAAACACGCCAGTCTTTTAGAAACTCCATTAGAAGGTAAAGTGTTTAATTCAGTTAAATTGTTATGAAAACAATAGTCTTGGTTTAATCCATGCTATCAAGCTGACTTGGTAACTGCTACAAATGTGCTTTTAAGATTCAATTTCTGACATCTTATTCAGTTGCTTTGAAAATATATTCTCCATAGAATCCGTGACTTAAGCTGTTTTCCACCACTGTGTCTTAACCTTTTAATTTTTGCAAGATTTACATTCATTTGTGTTTGCTTTCCATATATTTCCCACAGTGGTATTTTTACTCTTAGATAAAAAGGTATTCGTTTATATTCTTGTTTCCCATATTTTAAATTCATTTGAATTATGTATATGTTGTATGTATATGTAGTGTATATATTTGAGAGTTTGGAAAATAAAAATCTATTGATTCATAATACTTTTCAAGTTATTACATCTGTATGAGTCAGTTCTGGTCTTCCAGGTCCTATTTTTTTTAACTATTCCTTATTATTGTGCTAATTTAATAATTATCATTTTGTAACATGTCAATAATATCAGAATGGACTGTTTTTGACCTTTTCATTATTTCCTTAGGCATTCTCATTTTATTTTTAAGATTTTTATTGTTGATGTGTGTGTGTGTGTGTGTGTCTATGTACAGGTGCCCATGGATTCCAGAAGAGGGAACTAGGGTTATAACTGGCTGTGAGTCCCCTAATGTGAACAGTAGCTTTTAAATCCAACTGTAAAGGATTTTCATTTTCACAACAAGGTTAGAAAGTAGTAGAAAGTCTTTGATGTGCCTTGTTTGTTTGTTTATTGAGACTGGGTCTCACTGTATAGCCATGGCTAGCCTGGAAATTGATGTGTGGACCAGGCTGGCTTTAACTTACAGAAATCTGATTGCCTCTAGCTCTTTAGTGCCATGATTAAAAGTATGCACCACTATACCTGGTGACATGTTTAATGCTAACTAGGAAAACATTTTACTCATATGATGAAGTTTCCAGATTGCACATAGTTCTTGGCATGGGGTGAAAAGTTTAAACATTCTGCAAATTGAACAAGCGTTTCTGCGTCTCTACCACAGACTGTCATCAACCACTCTACGACTGTCCCATGTGCGGGCTCGTCTGTACAAATTACCATATTCTCCAGGAACATGTGGATTTGCATTTAGAAGAAAGCAGCTTTCAAGAAGGTATGTTTGTGTCTAAAAGTATTTTAATTTCTACTTCCTAGAATACATGTTTCTTTTAGGTTATTGATATAATGAAAAAAGTCATACTGTTTAAAAGTGAATCTGCTCTTTAAATAGTCCTCATGGAGCTGCACTGCTTTCCTGAAAGTTACTTCACAGAAAAGTTTTACAGGATGAACTGTGGAGACACCATTCAAACCAGATTTTGACATCCTTGAGCTTTGCTTGACATGGAGAACGTACATCATTTAAGATAATGCTTTGTAAAGTGTTTGCCATTTTAAGGTTTTTATTGGCAAAGTAAGGCCATTCTTTCATTGGTTTGAAGTAATAAAGTTAGCATTTAGCTAGCAAAAATTTTGAACTAAGAAGCTGCCAATTTAAAAAGCTAGGTGAATTTATGTGAATCTCACAACTGTTGTGTGACAAACTTTCCCTGAGAAGACACAGCACACATGTCTACTTACCCCAGAGAGCCTATGACAGACCAAAATCCTGATACCACCAAAGTTCACCAAAATTCAGTTTGATGAGTCATTGAGTTTTATTGGGGTTACTTACAGGAGTATGGGTGAGGAGTTACAAGAGCAGAAATGGGTCAAAACCAGGTGCATCACCTACCCTGTCATGTGGGATGCTTACAAAATCTGCGAAACCCGGAGGACACTGCCTAGCCTGCAGGCAGCTCACCAGGTTGGAGGGTGCCATTTCCTAGAGATTCAGCTGGTCTCCTAGAGATTCAGCTGGTCTAAATCCCTCCGAGGCAGCCCAGCTAGTTTCTGCCTATGTGGACACCATGCCATAATGTTGGATGTCATCCTCAGGAATGCCATATCTCTCTTTTAAGATGGGGTCTCTTACTGTCATGGAGTCCATGAGTTATGCTAGATCCCAGGAATGCTCCTATCTCCACTTCCCTCATGCAGGAATTACAAACATACCTACAAGGTTCACATGGTTCAGTGGACTGAACTCAGGTCCTTGTAATTGTAAGGCAAGCACTTCACTGGCAGAGCTATCTCCCTGGTTCTGTTGTCTGTCACTTTAAAAATAACATTAAATACTTCTTAGGGAGCTTTGGAAGTGGAAGAATCTTGTATGAGTTTCCAGGATTTACAGAAAAGTAAAGTGGCCTCTAAGAGAAGTAAACTGTATTCTACTCAATCTTAGTATTTGAGGATATATAGATAACATAATAAAGTGGGAGATTTAGTGTTCAGTGGTTTACTACCAATACCAGTGATCTCTATGCATCACACGCCTGCTTTATCCCTCACCACAAGAGAAAAATTACTAGAGCATTGATTGTAGATTATTCCTCTTCAGTGGTTCTCCGCTGCCTGCTCCAGTTGGTATGTTTTTGCCTTTGTTTAGGGTTACTGTTTCTGTAATAGAGCACCACAACCAAAAGCAGTTTGCAGATAAAAGGGTTTATTTTATCTTACATTTCTAGGTAACAGTCACCACTGAGCGAAGTCAGGGCAGGAACCTGTAGGTAGGAACTGATGCAGAGACCATGAAGGTGTGCTGCTGACTGGCTTGATCCCTCCTGGCTGGGTCAACCTGGGTTCATCCAGGACCATCAGCCCAGGAGTGGCACCACCCACAAGAGCTGGGTATTCCAACATCAATCACTAAGAAAATGAACTACAAACTTGCCTACAGGTCAATCTTTTTGGTTTTTTGAGACAGGGTCTCACCGTGTAGCTCTGTAAGTCACTTGTAGATCAGGCTAGAACTCATAGAGCTCCACCTGCATCTGTCTCCCAAATGCTGGGTGGGATTAAAAGCATGCGGCACCATACCCGGTCTACAGGTCAATCTAGTTTTGTTTTGTTTTTTGTTTCTTTTTCAAGACAGGGTTTCTCTGTGTAGCTTTGTGCCTGTCCTAAAACTAGCTCTTGTAGACCAGGCTGACCTCGAATTTACAGAGATCTACTGGCTTCTGCCTCTCTAGTGCTGGGATTAAAGGCGTGCGTCACCCACCTGGTTTATAGGTCAATCTTATGGAGGCATTTTCTCAGTTGATAGTCCCTCTTGCCAAATGGCTCTAGCTTGCTAGCTTGCATCAACTTAACATAAAACTAGCCACCCAGCTATCTTTTTTTTTTTTTTGAGTACTATTGTAAGGAAATGCTGTGAAAAGGTGAGCCTTTGAAAGCTGAATGTCTGCTAATTCTTCCTTTATGGGTAGGCTTTGTATTGGCGCATGTATTCTATTAACCAAGGCAGATAATCTCAGGATATGTTCAAAATCAGTTGTGAATTACATCACCAAGAATATAATGGAGCCTCAAATAGGAAGAGTAGCAATAGCTGGGAGGTTTGGAAGAAAAAATGTTCAGTTTCGGAATTAAATAATCAGGTTTGTGGATTGTAATGTCTCTGGATTGAGGAATACCTTGAAGACTGTTAAACTATTCTGTGTGTTTCTCTGCGGATGTTTCTAAGGGAAATGTGTATGTGGGCAAACTGAATAGTGAAGATTTGTATTCAGTGTGGGGAGGTAGCATCCAGTTTAGTTGGATTCTAGATGGACCAAGACAGTTGTAGAAGGGGCAGACTCACTTTGGCTCTTCCTTCTGGATTGGGTCTTGTTTTTCCTGCTGCTGCTCTTTGCTTTTTGACTCTAGATAGATAGAGTGTTTGACCTTTGGACTCTGGAACTCTTTTTTTTTTTTTTAAATTTATTTATTTATTAAGGATTTCTGCCTCCTCCCCGACACTGCCTCCCATTTCCCTCCCCTTCCCCCGATCAAGTCCCCCTCCCTCATCAGCTCGAAGAGCAATCAGGGTTCCCTGACCTGTGGGAAGTCCAAGGACCGCCCACCTCCATCCAGGTTTAGTAAGGTGAGCATCCAAACTGCCTAGGCTCCCCCAAAGTCAGTACGTGCAGCTGGCCTGGGTCTGAAAAAGCATGGGATAAAACCGGACTTGCTGAACATAGCGGACAATGAGGACTACTGAGAACTCAAGAACAATGGCAATGGGTTTTTTATCTGGAACTCTTCTTAGCATCCCTATCAGAAATCTGAAGCCTTTGACCTCAGATTGGGATTTTATCCTTTCTAAACTGGTTCTGGCATTTCCAGCTTCTTGGTCTGACTCTCACTTCTAGTCTCTGTTTCTCTGACTATCAGGAACTTTTTCCCCTGTGTTATTATGTGACCTAAACCCCTCATGACTCATGATATTTAATGATGTTCTCTTTGTCTCTTTATCTCTGTTTCTCTGTCTCTCTCATTCTGAATGTATGTGTGCCTGTCTCAGTGTGCCTATGTGTGGTGTTTCTGTCTTGCCCTTAGTCCTATTTCACTGGAAAACCCTGAAAAATAAAGAACTCTAAGAAACAAGATACTATACAGAAGCCACTAATAAAAGAATCTTCAGTTTCTCTGGGAAAGAGGAAGCAAGTCATTATGCTATAAAATTATCTTGCTTGGGTAAAACTAACTGTAGTGAAATACTTGGAGCTAGTGAGTGTATAGTTTGTATTTTTTATTACTTTCTTTTTTTATATTTCTTTCAAAAGTGAATCTCCATTAGTTGTATTCAGAGCCATCAATAAAAAGTGTCACTTAACCTTTCAATTTTTTTTTCTCAGTCGATAATACTTCATAAACAGGAAGGTGACATCAGTTAGTCAATGAGAAGTGCTTGTTGCAGCCTGAGCACTTAGTGAATGTCGCTTGTACTCTCTGATAGGTATGGACAGAGTCCAGTGTTCTGGTGATCGAGAATTAGCTCAACAGCTTCAACAAGAAGAAGACAGGAAGAGGAAATCTGAAGAATCAAGACAAGAAAGGGAAGAGTTCCAGAAGTTGCAGGTACAAAAATTAATAACAGTTTTATTGAGTCGAGTTCTTATTTCCCAAATATATTTTAGAGATGTTAACTTATGTCTGAAGATATAACTCCACCATTAAAAGCTCACAGCCAAAAAGATTTCTACCTAGCCTGTCCATGTTATGTTAAAAAATATTTTCATCTGTGTCCTCTATAGTTTGTTGAGATGGGGGCACAGTTCTCCAAAGCTGGAGAGATGTGTTAGGAGTGCTTGCTGCTTCAGCAGAGGGCTTGAGTTCATTTCCCAGCCCCAAAGTCAGGCAGCTTATACCTGCTTATAATTCCAGCTCCAGGTGATCTGTTCCCTCTTCTACCTTCACAGTCACAAGCCCCCTCCCCCAATAAATAAAGAAAAGGAAGAAAGGAAGAAAATGTAGCCGTTCTTGACTGTATATGTGGCACATACCTTTAGTCCCAGCATTAGGGAGACAGAGGAAGGTGAATAAATCTCTTGAGTTTGAGGTCAACCTGGGAACCATCTCAAAAAACCCCAAAATAAAACAAAACAGTGTAGCCATCTGTTCAGATACTAGAATAATCATTTCAGATAAAATATGTGAAAAAATTTACAGAAAACAAGGCCGGGCGTTGGTGGCGCACGCCTTTAATCCCAGCACTCGGGAGGCAGAGGCAGGTGGATCTCTGTGAGTTCGAGACCAGCCTGGTCTACAGAGCTAGTTCCAGGACAGGCTCCAAAGCCACAGAGAAACCCTGTCTCGAAAAACCAAAAAAAAAAAAAAAAAAAAAAAAAAAAAAAAAAAAAAAATTTACAGAAAACAAACAGAATTTTGTTTTCATTTTTCTTTCTCTCGTGTGATTAAATGAAGAATCAAAATAAAGTGTTTTGTTCCATGTTAGATAGCTATCAGGTAGAAAAGTGTGCACATAAAACTATGAAAGTGATGGGCAGATTGTGACACTATACTTTTGAAACCTCCAAGTGTACTCCAAATGAGAAACTTCCTTTGACAAAGCCATGCCTGCTCCAAGAAGACTGTACCTCATCATCCTTCTCAAATGGTTCCACTAACTGGGGACCAAGTCTTTAAACATAGAGCCCATAGGAACCATTCTCACTCGGACTACCACAATAATTACTGCTGCTTTAAAAAATAAAAATTATCTGTGGGTGTGAGGGTGTACACATGTCCTGGCGGGCCTGTGGAAGTAGGAAAATTTCTGAAAGTTGGCTCTCTCCTTCCAACATGTGGGTCTCAGGGTTTGAAGTCAGGTAACCAGATTTCAGAAGCAAATAACTATCACACTGTGCAGCTGCTTTCATACCTGCTTTGTTTATAACCTTAACACTTTACCACATTTAACACATTTTCAGCTTTCTGGTCTACCTTGTACTCTACTGTAAACCTGCATAAGGGTTATAGCCTGTAATCGTGATGCAGTCTGAATGTTATCTTGAGATTTCCTTACCAATCTTCTACTTCTTCAGCCTCTGAAGTTCTTAGGACACAAGCAGAATGAAGCCAGATTCTTGCCAGAATGAATCCCGAATGACTTCTAGCCCGGTTTACCTCTGAAACCTCCTGAATCAGCCCTCCACTCTTCACATGGTCCTAGCATTCTGGTCTCCCTACTCTATCAGAATGGCCTCTTAAGCCCTGCTTACAGTATTCTAGGGCCTTTTGAGCCTGGAGTTCCAAACTCTTCCACAGTCCTCCTCATAAACAGGTTTCAACGGCATAAGAACTCTCAGGACAGGTTGACTACAGTAGAAGCCCACTCCTTAGTAAGCTTTTTTAGACCTTAGTTGTTGCTTTGATCGAATAAGTATCAAGAAGCACTTTATGGAAGGAGGGTTTATGTATAGCATGAGGAAGAATGCTGGTCACATTGCATTTACAGCCAGAAGCAGGGACAGATGAGCTACTTTATCCTTTCTATTCAGTCTGTGAGTAGCTATGGGATGCGCCATTTTTAGGGTGGGTTTCCATCTCTATTAGTTCAATCTAGACAACCCACAGACATACCCTTAAATGTTCCTGTGGTAAATTTAAGTCACCTCAACTTTAATAAAATTAACCATGACAAAGATGTAACTTTGTAAGTTGTTTAGATCTCAGGAAGTTTATCCATAAGGCGTTTTATACATTTGAATGTCTCAGTACAGTTTGCAAAAACACAGTTCACTTACTCTGTAGCATGATTGATTGATTTGAAGACAAAGTGGGACTTTGTGGATGAGTGTTGGAACAGAATCGCAAATTCCCATTACAAACTGTATCTTGAGAATTCTGCCTTTAGCAGAAAGATAGTTCTTTCATTCCAATACTAGAAGGAAAGCAACTAATTATTTCTTAGAGCTGCAGAAGCTTACAGAGAAATATCTAATTATTAAATTATGGATATATGGTTTAATTATTATGAAAATCTTAACATTTACTTGTATGAAAAATCCATTAGCCAGACTATGTTAATATACATCCCCCCCCCCGCAAAGAAAAAAATAAGTTGAAAGTTTCCATTTGCTTGAAGAACAGGGATATAAAAATAAGTTATTTGTTTTGTGTTTATTAGCGGCAATATGGTTTAGATAATTCTGGTGGATACAGACAACAGCAGCTACGGTACATGGAGATGGAAGTAAACAAGGGAAGAATGCATCCCTCTGAATTTCACAGCAGAAAAGCAGACATGATGGAATCAATAGCTATTGGTATTGATGATGGAAAAACGAAAACTTCCGGTGAGTGCTTGAAAATACAAGTTGCAGTTTACTATTGTATGTGCTACTAGAGTAATAAATTTAATGTTGCATACGTCACTGGGGTAATATAGTCATTTGAATTTGCTGGATTTTTTTGTCAACAGTTAATGTAGTTTGAGGTGAGATTGTATTTCACATATTTTTTCCAAATATTTAAAACTAAACTCCTATTTTTATAGTAAATAATTTATTTAAAATAATTTAGTTTCTCTTGTATTAACTCACAGCAATGGGAAATGAACCTTTAGGTTTTTTTAAACATTAGCGTATGTTAATGTTTATTTGGCTTTGGTTCAGGGTTACTTGTAAGAACATAAATGAAGGGTCAGAAAAAAGATATGTGTTTCACCACTTCCCCACCCTGGTAACCATTATCTTCCTATAGATCTGAGGGAGGTGAGGGCCTCACGTTCTCCTATCCTGTAATGGTTTAATGTCTATAAATCATCAGAGATGGGTGTGTCCTTGCCACCACCCCTCTCCTCTCTGACAGAGTTTTGGTGTAACATGATCGGCCAGGCCTGCTTGTTGTTGTTTTTTGCCCTGCCTGGTACCCCACAACTGTTTAGCCCCAAAGAAAATCACACATAGATCTCTATAAGTTATAAAGCTAATTGGCCCATTAGCTCTAGCTTCTCACTGGCTAACTCTCACATCTTGATTAACCCATTTTTCTTATCTATGTTGGCCATGTGGCTCAGTACCTTTTTTCTGTGGGGCAGATCACATCCTGCTGCTTTGGTGGTCTGGGCAGGAGTGAGAAGAATCAATTTCCTCCTTCCCAGAATTCTCCTGTTCTCATTGTATCATTTCTACTTCTTGTCTGGTTTTCCCACTTCTACTTCCTGCCTGGCCAACCAGCGTTTATTTAAAACATGATTGACAGAATACAGACAATTTTCCTGCACCATTTTGGTAACCTGAGTACTGTTCAGATAGTCTTTGCTACTTAGGTTGAAAGCCAGAAGCCCTTCGGTGCCCCCTCTTCCTTAATGTTTCCTGAGCCTTGGGGGGTTAATGTAGATATACCACTTAGGATTGAATATCAAATAGTCATTATTCTCACTAAGTTCTTTGACCAGTTAATGACACCTACTACCAAACATTAATCTATGGATGTAAATATAAACATTTAGAAGGCAATTTGATAGGCATAACATGTCAATTTGGCAAACTATAATAGCTTTCCCAGTAAGGCAGATTCTTTAATATGGTTGTATGATATCATTGCTAAGACAAAGTTTGCCAGGAAATGAGGTATTTCTGTCTTACATCTAATAAGCATGCCAGAGTATACATATATATGTATATATATACATGATATACATATTATATATATATATAATTTTATTCTTATAGGTTTCCCCCTTTTCATTCTTAAAGTACTGTCCTAAACCTTGATTCCATCTGAGTCCTTTATCTTTCTGTTGCTAGAGTGTCTGTTTCATACCACTTCATCATTTTTTCTCTCCATGAGTAAACTTACTATTCAGTCACAAGTCATTTTTGTTGTTCTTTTTCTTGAATGTAAGTCTTGTTTAGGTATTATTGTTTTAAATTTATATCAAGTTTTTCTTCATGATAGTGGGCACAGCTGCAGCTATTGGTAAAATGATTATTTTGAATTATTTTTTTTAAATTTGTCTCCCTAAAAACATTTCCATGTATTTCATTCAAATAAATACATATAATGACTTTTCTTTTTCATACCCCATGCTGTGAGAAAACATGAACTACATAAAAGGCACCACTGCCCATTGTTATCCGAGTTTTTAAAGAAGACAGAATTTTTTACAAAGAACTATAATGTTCTGCTGTGACACAATGTGACTAGATAATAAGTAGGGGTCATGAAGAAAATAAATGTTCTGATTGTTTGTGTAGAGTCAGAAAAAAGTTACTTGAAGGTGATGTTTGGTTCTTCCAGGATTTTTAGAATTCTAAGAAGAAGAAGAATTTTCAAAAGGAAGAATCACATGTAAACTTGTCCAAATATCTTGCTTAACCAAATTCTAGACATTAGTCTATGGTCATGTTTCTAGAAATATTGTCATATTTATCTTTCTTTGCTTAGCACTTACTATCCTGTTATGTATACAAAGTATAGTACTGAAGTTAAATTATAAGCTCAGCAGCAGAATATTTGATTGTTAGGTCAAGAAGAATAAAAAGTGAAGGTCAGATGCAGGACACTGGCTTAAGCTTTATATACTGCAGATTAGTACTAATGCTGTAGACTAGCAGGAGACATACACTTTCAGGTGGAAGCAGACTGATGAAGACTGAGCAAGCTCTAATGGTGAGTGTAACAAATGGGAAGACAAGAAGAGCATTTGTTCTATAAGGGTGGGTACTCTTGTGTTCCAGGCTTTGCAGTTGAAGAGCTTAAGGATGCAGTCACCTTCAGGTCATTGCAGGGAGAACTATTTTAGTGTTAGAAAACGTACGTTTATTTTCATGTTAGAAAACTTGGGTTGTGGGGCAGTGAGATCATGAGCTAAGGTCGTAGTGGGAGAAGATGAATTAAAAGTGGAGTTGGTGGGTGTTTTCTGTGGAGCTTGAAGCTGATGTTAGACATGAACAGCCGTGTAATGAAGATAATGAATCTTCTTCAGTATTCCAAATCTCTTCTATTCTAGGAATTATTGAAGCCCTCCATAGATATTATCAGAACACTGCCACAGATGTGAGGTGTGTGTGGCTCTCTACAGTGGTGGACCACTTTCATTCCTCCTTTGGGGACAAAGGTTGGGGTTGTGGTTATAGAAATTTCCAGATGCTATTTTCATCATTACTACAAAACGATGTGTATGGTGACTGCTTGAAAGGTATGTAAAGTACTGTTACCCCTGAGTTTATACACACAGAGGGTCTTGCCAAGAAATGTCTTAGAAATTGGGTTTTACTAGAATACATGTTACTATGGGGTATAATTGTTCAGCATATTAGTACCTGACCTTGTGACTTGTTTTGCTTACACGATTCCAGGTATGTCCATTCCTTGTATTCCAAAAATTCAGTCCATGATTGAAGATGCATGGAAGGAAGGTTTTGATCCTCAGGGAGCCTGTCAACTTAATAACAAATTACAGGGAACAAAGGCCTGGATTGGAGCTTGTGAGATTTATACACTTCTGACCTCACTGAGAGTAAAGTATGTACCTGCAAACTCCAGTTAACATTATTTTTTTTTCCAGTTAACATTATTGCATTCAATTGCAAATTACTGACATTAAATTTAGTCAGACTAAAGCTCACTGCCTTAGTTATTTTTTTCCATGCTGTAATAAAATGTGCTAGCCAAAGTAACTTAAGTGAGGAAGGTTTATTTTGGCTTACGTTTCTAAGGATACAGCCCACTGTGGTGGGGAAACAGAAGGTGCAGAAAGTAGACTGGCTGTCATACTGCATCAGCATTCACGAAGCATAGCATCAGTAGGAAATGGGAACCTGCTATAAAGTTCCGGACCTGCCTCCAGTGATCTCCTTCCTCCAGCAAGCCTCCACCCCTAGAGTTTTCACAACCTTCTCAAATATCTCTTCCTGCTGAGATCAAGTCTAATGTAGCCTACAAGGGACAGTGCACATTCAGAGTATGGCAGAAACCATTAACAGTTTTTTTTTTATCTTTTTGAGATTTTATTGCTATGAGAGACAAGGATGCATTGTTTATGCTGGAATTTAAAATAATCAAGCTATTAAATGCTTTTGGTTATGCTTTATAGTACATTTTTTTTTTGTGTGTGGCGTAGAAGTGAACCTAGTTCAACAATCTGATTTATTCAAGATTACTTAAAGGAAACATGCCACCATAGTCTGGGCCAGACAGGAGACACTGGGTGGAGAGGGGAGAACTCACATATTTCTATGCTGTTCACCAATATTGTCTGTAACAGGAACTAAAAAAAAAATCAAATATACTCTGAATATTTTTATATTTACTTATTTATTTTTGGAGTAAAGTATTTAGAATGCTTTTGATGTAAAAATGACTACTACTGAGGATTAAAATCAGAATTCAGATTTTTTTCTTTTAAATAAAGACACAATAACTTGATTGAAGTTTTTAATTATTTCTGTGTTTACACTTAACGCTGAGTAGAAAAACCTCTGTAATAAGTTGTTTTCTTTAAAAACAAAAACCATGAAAGTTATTATTTTACTGGTTTTGCGTTATGTGTATATGTGCATGTTTATGTGAACATGAGTGTGGTGCCTTTGGACCCTGTAGTGCTGGAGTTAACAGGCGACTGTGACCAAATGTGGGTCTTCCGCAAGAGTAGTGTGTGCTTTCAACCACTGAGCTATTTCTCTAAGTCTCTATATTTTTGTTATTATGCATGTGTTGGAGAGTGCCTGTGGAGGTCAGAAATCTAATGTGTGGAGTTGGTCTCCCCATCTTCTCAGGTCATCAGGCTTTCAAAACATCCTTACCCATGGAGCTATCTCTCCAGCCTCTAACTGGCAAGTTTCTAGCTAATCATCAGGGATAGGGACATTAGAATAAAAGTGATTGTGTCCCATGTTATAGCACATGGGTTTTAAAAGTCCAGCATGCTTCTTATTTGCTGTGCAGGGAACATGTTAGGAAATCATTGTAATCTTTAGCTCATTCATGAGCTATGAGTGGTAATTTGAGTTATTATTTTCCCCATAAAATGATAGTTTTTCTAAATGGTTAAAATTCATATTTACTTTTTTCTTCATAGGGAAGTCATCAATACATAAAATTGTTCTGGATCAAGATTTTTTTTTTGCAAATTACATTTATGCAAAAATTTGTAAAATATCTCTAAACTATTTTCTTTGTCAATTGTTTAGGTGCCGCATTATTGATTTTCACAAGTCAACTGGTCCATCGGGTACACACCCTCGCTTATTTGAATGGATATTGAACTATTATTCTTCAGCTAGAGAAGGGAATCCAAAGGTTGTGTGTACATCTAAACCTCCTGTCTATCTCCAGCACCAGGGTTAGTAGATCACACACACAACTATCATTTTTAAGAGAACAGATTGACTATTGCTTAAGGAAGGTCAGGATTGCAATAGTAGAGGTGACAGGGTGGAGGGGGGTGCTGTTATGACTGGTTGTCAGAGCTACTTGTCATTTTGGTACATTCTTGGGTGACACAGCATCTTGGGGCCTTTGCACTTCTTGTGGTCCTTTTCTGGTTCACTGCTCTCATTATCCATCCCTTTCCTTCTTCCAGTCTTTATTCATTTGTCACTATGTTAAGCCTTTCTAGACTGTACTTATTTAAAACAGCAAGTCTGTGTGTGTATATGTGCATGTGTTCTAAACACACAAAAACCCACACAGAGACTGTGGATGTATATATAGTAATAACTGTACAGATGTGAGATATTAAACTGATATTTATACTTTGACTAGGTCATAGTCGAACAATTGTTGGCATTGAAGAAAAGAAAAACCGGACATTATGTTTACTAATATTTGATCCTGGATGTTCTTCCCGAGAAATGCAGAGATTGTTAAAGCAAGACATAGAGCCTGGTAGTCTCAGGCAGCTGCGGAAATCTGTGGGGAATCTTAAACATAAGCAGTACCAGATAGTAGCAGTAGAGGGCGTTCTTTCACCAGAGGAGAAAGTTGTAAGTATCTCAGTATCAGGTGAAGTCACTTAAAAGTTTTAGTTAAAATCAACATTCTCTCTCTCTATCTCCTCACAACTCTTTTCTATTTCATGAAATGACAAATACATTTGTCTTTGACGTCACTGGATTTCTGGAATGGCCATTTTTAAATTTAGATAGTACCTAAATGTCTTTCAGTTGCTTAATTCATTTTCATAAAATATTTGTTTGTTGTTTTACCTTTTGATGTCAGGTAAGTAATCAGTAACAATAATGTGGTTATGAAAACAATCTGTAACCTAACTCAGGTGGTCTTACTGTTTATCACACTAGATTCAGGAGCTATATCTTATCCTTTGGCCTTCTGAGTATACTCAGTTCAAGAACAACCCTTGCCTTTATCATTTATAGTTAAGTAATGAGCTCCAAATTACTGAAAAACTTTTAGACATTAGAAAACCTCCACTGAGGTTGTAAGCTGCAGTGGCGTCATAGCACACTAAGCCTAGACAATGCATGAGATCCCAGAATCTTAAGATTTTATTTTTTATTTTTAATTGCATGTGTTTGTGTGTATCTAAGTGTGGTATTGTGTATAGAGTAAAACTCATGGAAGCCAGAAGAGGGCATAAATGCCATGGAGCTTCAATAGCAGATGGTTGTGAGCTGCTAGATGTGGGTCCTGGGAAATTCATTTGGGCCTCCTGCAAGAGCACTGTGTCCTCGTAACCATCGAGCACGTCTGCAGCCCTGGTGTGGGAATTCTATGAGAAAACTAAAAAGAGTACTTATTGGGAACTTCATATTTGTTTCCCTCTAAAGACGAGACAGAATACTCGTGAGGGACTTGGGAAAGAACAGGTTCAAGGGAAAGGAGTCAGATTTAAAACAGAAGCTGGCTAATCTCAGCTTCTTAACTGGAGATAGAAAGACAAGGATTGTTTGCTAGGTTACTCAATTTAAGTATGCTTTAAAAGATTTCTTTTCAATGTCTTTAATCCCCAATTACAAACTTATTTTTAATCCTATTATTAGTTTGGCCAGATAAATGTAGAGTTCGTTTTAATTCTTATCATGGGTTCTGATGCTTGCTTTCAGTGCATAGTAACTTTGGAGAGTATAGTAGTAATCAGGTGTTGTCTGGGCTCCAGGTGAACAACATTTTAAGTGGCTTTTATGTTTCCAGTTTTAGAAAGTAAGTCATTGTTGCTGCTAGAATACTAAACATATCTTTTCTGTGTTTTACTTTTGACTTTGTTTTTTTTGGGATTGCAGGGTTTGTTAGATCATAGCTGTGCCTTTAAGAATTACAGCTACTAAGGGCTTTACATGTATCACTGTATAGAACATCACTGTAGGGTAAATGGATATTGTTTCTGTGTTTCAAATGAGGATGCTTATAGTGAGTAGTGAAGTCAGATCTGCAGTGTAGCAGTTTATCCAGCTCTTGGTCTTGTGTAGCCTCTTGGAAAAAGCTTCTTTTTAAGAAGTTTTACTAAATCATTTTTCTTTTTAATATTTCATACATGTATAAGGATGTGTTCTGATTATTCTCTCTACCTTCACCTTTTCTGCTCTCCCCCAAGCCCCTATCAACTCACTCTTAGTTCTGATTTTTTTTTCCCAAAAGAAAAAGAAAATTGAGACAGGTCTTCTTCACAGTGTATCTGTGGCTGACCTGGGACTCATTATATAGACCAGACTGGCCTCAGAAATCACAGAGGTCAGCCTGCCTTTGCTTCCCAAAGCTGAGATTACAGGTGTGCACCACCATGTACTGCCCTATTAAAGCTATTAAATTATGTTTATTTTTATGTAAATTTGTGTGTGTGTATGTATGTGTATTCATAAGTTGTTTCTCTCCTTTTACCATATGAGTCCCAGGGCTTAAATTCAGTTCATTGGGTTTGGCAGGAACTGCCTTTACCAACTGAGCTGTTCTACTAGCTTCATTGTTATATTTTGATAATAATTTACCTATTATTCACAAACAAAGTTTGCCTTTTAAAACTTCTTTTATTTTTGAAACTGTCTTATGATGCTATAAGATATTTTTGCTGTGAATATATTTTGAGTAACTGTTTATTCAAGACCTGTCTAGATAATTAAGGTCTTGTTAGTTGAAAGAATAAATACCATCTAATTAAGGTTAGTTAAAATAATAATTAGTTATGTATATAACAGATATTAGTCATATCCTCATTAAAAAGAAAAGGAAAACTGTAAAAAAGGTCTTATTATATTTGTGTATGTGTGTGCCTGTGTGCAAACCACATAAGTGTTACACCAGAACATGGTGTCCCCTATACCTAGAGTTGTGGGTGGTCATGAGCCACCCAATATGGCTTTTGGGAACTGAGCTTACATCTTTTGTAAGAACCACATCACCAAACAGAGCTGTTTTTCTAGAAACCTATTTTCACTTAAAAAAATTTTTTTTCAACCTTTGAGATAAGGTTTCATGTGGCCCAGGCTGGTCTTGAGTTCACTGTGTAGCCTAGGTTAACTATGAACTCCTCATTTGTACTAGGAGCTGCGGGCTGCGTTCCTGCCGCCCAGCTCCCGTCCACCGGCTAGCTTTACTTGAAATAACAACACGGAAACTGTATTCTTTTAAATACTGCCTGGCCCATTATATCTAGCCTCTTCTTGGCTAACTCTCATATCTTGCTTAACCCATTTCTAATAATCTGTGTCTTACCTGGAAAGATTCAGCATGTCTGACCTGGCAGCTTGCTTCATCGCACATCTACCCTGGAGAGGAGAGGTATGGTGTCTGCCTCACTTCCTCTTCCTCCCAGCATTCTGTTCTGTTTACTCCACCCACCTGTGTTCTAACCTATCAGGCCAAGCAGTTTCTTTATTAATTAACCAATGAAAGCAACAGATTGATATGACACTCCCACATCACTCATTCTCTTACCTCAACATCATGGATTACTGACATTTGATATTATGCCTGGCTTTTCTTCACATCTTGATAATAGTTGCTAATATACTTCAGTACATTCTTAATTTTTATTTGGTTATTCCAATTTGAATTATCCTAATTTGTTTAGTTTAGCTGAGTTTAATATGCTTTAGTTTGTAAACCAAATTTGGAAGCAGCAGAAACAATGAAATTTTCCTTTATTCTTTTAATATTTTATTAACACTATGAATATTTTTTATATATATAGAATGTATTTTGAATGGTTTCCTCCTCTATTCACCTTAAATTCTCCCAGATCCTTTCCCACCAAGTCCTTATCATGTGCTTTGTTTATCTTTTTTTCCATAACCCACAGAGTCCAATTTTTTCTTATATATTCCTGGGTATGAGACCAGCCACTGGAGCATGGTCAACTTACCAAGAGACATTTCCTTAAAGAAACTGACTCTCCCTCATCCCCAAGTCAGATACTATAACTCCTCACCCAGGAATGGTACAGCTGGAATACTAATTCATAATAAACAAGG